TGGGGGTGGACAGAACCCCCAACAGTGACACGTCGATTAGTGAATTGTCCGTTTTCGGTTTTCGAGAGGGCGCCGTGGCCGTTATTTTCCAGGCTTGCGCCCGCCAGGTTTGGGCCCGAAGTCGTTTTCACTAAACCACGTTTTACTAAAGGGAGGTCTGTCCATCCCCGATATATCCCCGAGTGGGGCCCCATATTTCTGGGCCCGCTCGGAGATCCCACGACGCCTGGGGTATGGGTCGAGCAATCCCCTGCTAAGATCCCTCACAGGGACCGGCCACAGCGCTGTTGAGCCTGGCTTGGGCCCTCGTGCTGTGCTTCGTTTCGTGGTTCGTTGTTCATTTCGTTTCGTTTTTCGTTGCTGCTTTGAACGCCCCGTTTCTTCGTTTGGATCTGGCTTCGTTTTAAGCGTTCGCTTCGTTTCGCTGTTCGTTGAAAACGACATTTCGTTCAAACGTCGTTGTGGTTGGAGCAGCAGGAGAAGGAGGCGGAGATGAGGAGGAGGAGAAGGACTCTCCCTCTCCCCATCTTCGTCTCACCTCTGGCGGGGGAGGCCGCCGAGGGCACGACTTTTTGGAAGGGAGGCGCCCGCGCACGGACGCAGAGGGGAGCTCTCGTGGAGACACCTGGCGGGGTTCGCAGGACCACCGACCAGAGGAGGAGGTCTCCTCCTCCTCCTCCTCCTCCGCTTCCATGCTCCTCCTCTTCCATGCTCCTCCTCCTCCTCCTCCTCCACCTCCTCCTCTTCCTCCTCCCCCTCCTCCTCCTACTCCTCCTCCTCCTCCTCCTCCTTCTCCTCCTCCCCCTCCTCCCCCTCCTCCTCCCCCTCCTCCTCCTCCTCCTCCTCCTCTTCCATGCTCCTCCTACCCATGCCGCTACCTTTACGTAGTTTTCCTTTTCTTGGACCTCATGGGAGGCCCTCGTAGACACAGCTGGATTCGCCTCGAATTTCTGGTCAGAACGCGCCCCGGCAGAGGTCTGGGGAGTAGCAGTATCGGTGGTACCTTTTGGTTTCCCCATGGCCTTCGCCGCCACGCAGCATGTCTGGCTGCTTCGTCATTCATATTTGTATGTGTACATAACTATTTAAATATCTGTGTATATATACATATATATATATGGATTGTCGAATGCCGCAGTCCTTCTCTTAGTTTGCGGTTGCGGGCGGCTCATTTTGATTGCCAGGCCCCCCCCAAAGCAAGGACAGCATCTTGTGTGGGCAGGGCTTCCTCCCCAGTCTTGCAAAGAAAGGCCGTCGGTGGCAGGCGGTGGTCCTCCGTGGTGCCTCGCCGAGAGGGCTTGCCTGCAGCGGCTCGTGCATGCCCGATTTCCCCCTCTGGCTGCGTGACAGGCCCATGCCATCCCGACTCGCAAGCCGTCGCGGAACGCGAGATGGTAGTCAGTGCCATCGCGTGCGCAAGTGCCTCGCGGCGTGACGCTGCCTCCGCTGCCATCATCGTCGGAAAGGAAACTCTCTCCGCTCACGTTGGCTGGCTCGCGGTGAGCAGCTGTCCTTGTATTCATCGGAGGTCGGGGGGTGAGAGCGGAGTGAAACGGGGGCATTCCATTGGGAATGCGGTTTCGGTTTCGTGTTCGTTGGTTGGTTGTCCCGATAGTTGTCCCGATGGATCGTTAGGAAGATCGACAGGCAGATAGTGATATCAGTAAAGGAGTAGTGAGGCTGGTAGGGAGATCGATCTTTAGGTTGATAGTGAGATCGGGAAATATTGATATCGATTGATCGGTAGCGAGGTCAATATTTAGATAGTCGGATCGATACGTATACACATGTGTACATGTAGTCAGATGCATATTGAGATCCATAGATCGTGATATCGACATACCGTGATATCGTTAGATGTATACACATACATCTTGTGACCAACGAATCGACTATTCTGTTGATAGTTTTACGAGTACATAGTGAGGTCGGTATATCGCGCAATCGGTTGAAGTTGTTCGATGGATGGAAGCGGTGATCTCGCACGGTTGTCCCGTCGTAGGTTCCTCACCCGCACCCCAACTTTCTTATCGAGCATTGGCCCGTTTTCTAGATACTCTCATATTGCCATGGCCTCTGGCCAGTGCCATCGATCCGGGGCGCTCGGGATGATGATGATGATGATGATGATGATGATGATGATGATGATGATGATGATGATGATGATGATGATGATGATCTTGATGATGGTGAAGGTGGTGATGATGATTATAATAATGATGATGATGCTGATGATGATGATGATGCTGATGATGACGATGATGGTGATGACGATGATGACGATGCTGATGACGACGATGATCATGGTGGCGCCAGTTTGCTAGAGAGCCCTTATACCTCTCCGCCTTCCCGCGGGGGGCGCCAGTATGGCTTTTGGGGGACGCAGGGGTACGTGAGAGGGCCGGCGGCTCGGGGGCGGGGGGGCCGCCCGAGGGGGGACTCGCTCAGGGCCCAACGGATGGTCATAGATGTCACGCCTAGACTCAAGTCGGGCCTGTCCCTCTACAGGGGAAATATTCAAAGATAGTTGAAGAGTCTTGGGACGATGTTTTGACAATTGTTGCCCATTTGGGGGAGTATTTGTTGAGTATTGTGCTGGACTCCGGCCAGTGCCGCCGATCCGGGGCGCTCTGGATCATGATGATGATGGTGATGTTGATGTTGTTGATGATGATTCGGGTAATGTTTATCATGGTAATGGACATGGTTAAGAGCATGAAGATGGTGATGACGACGACGAAAATCAGGATTGTGATGCTGGTGATGGTGATGATGGTCGTGATGATGATAGCGGTGTGCCCACAATGATGTTGATAGTAGTGATGACGTTATTGTTGATGTTGATGATGTGAATTCTCAGGGTACCCAGGATGATGCAGTTGGTGAGGACGGCGATGGTAATGATGATTTTGCTGCTGATGGTGATGACGATGATTATGTTGATGATGATGATGATGATGATGATGATGATGATGATGATGATGATGATGATGATGATAATGATAATGATGATGGTGATGATGATGATTATGTGGAGGAGGAGAAGGAGGAGGATAACGTTGACTATGGTGATGGTGGTGGGGATGTTGATGACGACGGTTGTGATGAAGATGATGAAGAGACAGAGGTAGATATCATATGCGGCGTCTTCCGTCTCCTCATCTTGTGCAGCTCACAAGGGGCCGTCCTGGGCTGTTGTTGGCTGTTTGCAAGGAGGGAGGAAGAGGATGGAGGAGGGAGGGCTAGGGAGGAGGGAGGAAGGAGGAGGCAAGAGGAAGGGGGAGGAGGGAGGAGGGAGAAAGGAGTAGGGGAGGAGGGAGGGAGGGAGGGATGAGGGAGGAGGGAGAGGTGAAGGAGGAGGAGGAGGAGCAGAGAGGAAGGAGCATGAGGAGGGAGGAGGAGGAGGATGAGGAGAAGGAGGGGGAAGTGGAGGGCGCCCTCTTGGGCCGTTTTGGGGTCGTCTTGGGAGCCTCTTGAGCCGTCTTGACGCGGTCTCGGGGGCCTCTGGGACCGTCGGAAGCGAAGCCCCCTCGCCCCCGAGCACTGCATGGCGCCGGGAATGGCGTCCTCCCCCCCCTGCCGGCTTGCTGCAGAGCGAACCCTCCCCCCCCCAGCTCCCGAGCACTGGCGTCGGGAATGGCGTCCCCCCCTCCCCCTCCCTTGCAGAGCGAAAATTCCCCCCGGTTCCCGAGCACTCGTCCACCCCCCCTCCCCTTGCAGAGCGAACCCTCCCCCCCCCCCGGCTCCCGAGCACTGAATGGCGTCGGGAGTGGCGTCCCCCACCCCCCTGGCAGAGCGGACCCCCTCCCCGGCTCCCGAGCACTGCATGGCGCTGGGAATGGCGTCCCTCCCCCCCCCCCCCTCTGCAGAGTGGACCCCCCCCCCACGGCTCCCAAGCACTGAATGGCGTCGGGAGTGGCGTCACCCCCCCCTCCCCTTGCAGAGCACCCCCCCCCTTGGCTCCCGAGCACTCGCCCCCCCCCCCCCCCCCCCCTGCAGAGCGAACATTACCCCCCCCCGGGCTCCCGAGCACTGACTGGCGTCGGGAATGGCGTCCCCCCCCCCCCCCCCTTGCAGATCGATCCTCCCCGTGGCTCCCGAGCACTGAATGGCGTCGGGAGTGGCGTCCCCACCCCTTGCAGAGCGAAGCTTGAGCGAGCTCAAGTCCACGCCCTCAGAAACTCATACGCCGGATCGGCGGATTTTACATTTTTCGGCCAAATCCCCCTGTATGGGGACATGCCCGACCTAAGCCTAGACTCAAATTTTGTGCCTGCGGCGGGCTTCCGTCTTCTTCGCGAACTCAAGAGAGGTTCTTAGCCACCGCTCTTGTCCACGCGTCCACGCTTGCGCGGGTGACACGGTTCTGCCACAATCCGCTCACAGATCAGACGTGCAGACGTTGCAGTGGACCGTGATGGAAGCCCTCGCCTAAAAGGACATGATATTGCAAACGGTACCGTCGGACCGAGGTGCAAGATCGAGGTTGGTTCGGGGAGGGTAACCACTTGTGTTCTTCGTGTCTGTTGGATGCTCTTGTGCATCTTGGGGAGGGTACATTTGGATGTTCTGATTGTTGGAGGAGGAGGAGGAGGAGGAGGAGGCGGAGGAGGAGGAGGAGGAGGAGGAGGAGGAGGAGGAGGCGGAGGCGGAGGAGGAGCCGACGGATGGCCTCGTGTTCTTGAAGGATGTTCTTCCGGCCCAGGTCCGACCGTACCGCAAAAAAGGTGCGCTTCGGAGGCAGACGTCCCCCCCCACAGCGGTCCATTTCCAAGGGCTCCCTCGAGGGCGCGAAGTTATTCGCGCTTCGCGCTTCGCGGTCCTCGTTCCTTCTCCCCCTCCTCCTCGTCCTCCTATTCTCCCTTTGGGAGGGCGGCGCGAGAGCGCGAAGTTATTCGCGCTTCGCGCTTCGCGCAGCGCGAAGCGCGAAGTTGGGAGCCCTAGGCTTCGGAAGCAGACGTCCCCCCACAACGGTCAATTTCCCGCCCCTGCCCCCACAGGCTGTCATCTGCATCGTGGGCGCGACGGGCCTGCGCCCCGTCGGCCCAGGGTCCGAGTTCTTCTGCAAGTGCAGGATCAGAGATCAGAAGGCCCTCCCCGCACGCCAGTTGGCCCTCCCCTTCGCGCACCGCCCAGGTCTGTGGGCGCACCATGGCAGCCCCACGGGAGGGAAAGGGACTGCGACAGGAAGGATGGAGAAGGGGAGGGGAACGAGGGACATAGGCAGAAAGAGAGAGAGAGAGAGAGAGAGATATAGAGCCAATGCGGGGTAGGAAGGGGGGGGGAAGATGGAGCATATGTGCACATATATGTATATATGTATATACACATGCAGAGGTGTATGTATACTGATACGCGAGCAGACCAAGCGGTTTTCTGACTGAATACTGTATCGACGCACCGACAGACACGGACAGGCAGATGCGTTCAGGCAGGTAGGTGGGCGGGCAGGCCCACAGACAGACGGACAGACATGCGCGGGCACAGATCGTCATGTTTGGCAGCATGGACTTCAAACATTGAGTTGTTAATTTGTGCATGCGTCCGCTATGTAGTGCAACATATGTGGTGTAAGCGAGGTGGTACAATGTACGTGGTGTAAGCTATGCGGTGCAACCTATGCGTTGCAAGCTGTGTGGTGTAAGTTATGTGGTGTACGCGATGTGGTGGAACTTGTGCAGTGTGAGCGTCGTCGTGCAAGATCTGTGTTGTAAGCGGCGCGGCGCGATACGCATATACATAGATATATACATATATATATAGCATGCAAACATATGTAGATGGACATATTCGTATATGAATGGATGGTGCAAGATGCGTGGTGTAAGCTGAAGTGCAAGCTATGTGGTACAAGAGCGCTATGTTGTAGAAGCTGTGTGCTGCAACGTTCACGCGGCTACCCGGCGCACGCGGCACCCGCGAGACGCCCACGGGCGGTCAGCAGCTGGCACCAGGCGAAGCCTCCGCACACCCACCTGGCGCACGAGGCGCCCACGAGGCGCACGAAGCGCCAACGGGCGGCCGCTGGCGGGCACCGGGCGCAACCTCGGCACACCCACGCAGCACGAGGCGTCCGCGCGGCGCCCACCGGGAACCACCAACCAGGCACCGTGCGGAACCCTGGCAGACCCTTTTTTTGTGACGTTACCATGTGTCACGTGTGCGGAGCCACGCTGTCAGTGCCGCGCTCTCCCGTGGCTTTGCTGCGTCCCTGCTCTCAACGCGCACCGCCGGAGGCGGCGGAGAGCTCGAGAGGCCCACCTGCCAAAAAAGTGCAGTCTCCCACGGAGGGCGCCATTCTGCCCGCAGCGCCGCCGCGCCGCCGGCCTGGAGGTCGACGCCGCCGTGACGGCCCGGAGGCGAGAGCAGAGCCCGGTGTGGGAGTCCGGCCACGAGCTGGGCTTCGGCGAGGCGGGCCGCCGCCGCAGCCTGCGCCCTGCCCCTGCGGAGGGGCTCGGTGGCAGGAGGCGTGCAGTCGAAGCCGATGGTTCGACTAGACGTAAGAGTGACCTTGCGCCGGAGTGACCTTTGGTGCGGACCCAGTGGGGCCCCCCGATCGCCGAACGCGTGCGATAGTAGCGCCTTGCGCGCCTGTGTTTGGTCCCCCCGCGGCCCCCAAAAAGCCGCGCACCAAAGGTCACTCTTACCCAGGGTCACTCCTGCGTTTAGCCGAATGGTGAGGATGGGTGACCTTCTCCCAAGGGCAAGTGCCCTTGCATCCTTGCCTCGTTCGGCCTTTGCTTAAAACCGCTGTCGATGGCCAGCCCCGCTCGAAAAGTTTCGACGTGGGCGTCCAAGGGGCCTTGCATCCTCACCGCGCATCCTTGCTGTCAGCTTTGATGGGTACCACTGATCTTGCCCCGTGTTCGCCTTTTGGGCCTCTTGGAAGACCCTCGCTGCCACGGCTGGATTCGCCTCGAAATGCTGGTCAGAACGCACCGTGGAAGAGGTCCAGGGAATGGCGGTGTGGGTATCTGTTGGTTCCCCCGAAAGCCGCGAGGCGCTGCGGGGCGAGTTGAGCGCTGAGTATCGCCGCTGTCGGCGCCCTGGCTTTTGCATGGTTTGGCCTTGTTTGCCGCGTGCAGACGGCGCCTTATGTTAGACATGCACGGTGCCTCACGCGCTCTGGGCGAAAGGCTTCAGACGGACGCTGGCGGCGTCAGGCACGTAGCCCCAAGAGTTGCATACACCAGGATGCGATTCCTGCCTCAGTCCTTCATAATCCACCTCAATCTGGCTGAATCCTGGGCCCAATCTGATCCCTGAATGCATAGAAAACCTCCCCCAGCAGTTGCCTCCCGCCATGCGCCGCCCAATTGCCAGCCACGACGCCCAAGTCAAGCAGTGGCGAAGCGTCCCGGCTCGCTTATAGTCCCACCAAAGAATGTTCTACGAACCTTTTGTGGTTCCCACGAAATGTTCTTAGAACATGTCTGGTTGATATTGTTTTGTTTTTACACATCGGGCGTAGGTTCTAAGAACATTGTTTGTGTTCCTAGAACATTCTTGGGTTCTAAGAACAGTTCGTGGTAGGACAATAGGAATGCCGGGACGGTCGGTCCCTGCTCAACCAAGAGGTCTCCAGAGGCTCCAACATGACCCCAAGACGGACTCAAAGCAGGGCCGCGTGGGGGAAATTTACGCGGAAGAGAGAGGCTCCCCCTGCGGCGCCGGCGCGAGATCGCGGGGCGCAAGCTCGACTTCGAGCTGTACAGCTCGCAGACCGGCGAAGGGCGCGAGAGCGTCAGCTACCTCGGGAAGGCCGGCGAGCCGAGGGGAGGGAGGAGGGAGGATCGTGGGCGGGAGACATATGTGGACGCCCGAAACGGGTACCAAAAGAATGGGTACGATGCCCAACAGCAGTTCCTGTTCATTTTGAACAGGACTCGCTGTCCACGCCGCCGCGGCCTGTGTCCATTCGAGACAGGAGGCAGCCTGCCCAACAGCGGCCGCTGTTGGTTTGGGACAACATTGGTTGTTGGGCATAGTGCCAGGATCCTGCGAAGACCCCCTCTGGCTGACCCGGGTCAGCGAGCCGCTCGCGGCCGCGAGGGCGGCCGCGCAGATTGGCTGACCCGGGTTTGCGAGGACCTGCGCTGCAGTTTTTTGTTGTTGTTTCTGCATTGCAGTTTTTTGGCTTCCCGCTGACCCAGGTCTGGATTGACCCGGGTCAGAAGATCTCCGAGGAGGGAGGATCGTGGGCGGGAGACATACCCACATCCGCGGCGCCACGGTCTTGACTCTTGGGCCGCGGTTCCGGGGATGCTGGGCGGTTTTGCACGGATCCCCCGCGCGGAGCGTGTGCATGAGATCGTGCATCCATGGGGTCGCGCCCAGACATTTGGGTCGCGAGGGCATGGTTGTCGATGTGGCCGTCGCCCGTGAGAGGACGCGGGCGAAGGAGGGATGAGCATTTCAGAGGGCTCTTGGGGGCTCAAGATGATATGGAGGGTTCCATCGGGGGTCCCTCGGTTGTCCTGTGGGTGAGGAGGGAGAGAGGGGATGGGTGGAGCAAGAGGCCCATCTGGACGTTTCCTTCAAGTATCGGATGGACCCCTTGGAGATCGGGCGCTTCCTGCAGGAGAGCCGTCTGAGGCAGGGCCCTTGGAGGCGAGCGGTCCATGGGTCAGATGTCGCCTTCACCGGAGCTTAGCATCTCCGCTGACGTTCGGGTCGGTCCCGATGGCTCCAGCACTAGAGGGGCAGCACACGTTAAGAGGAAGCCTGGCTGACGACGAACGCGTGTGTGCCACAGTCGGGTGTGGATCGCGAGGATGCCGCGCAACTCGCTGCCGAGAAAAGCAAGGCAGTATGTGTGGCGTGTGCAAGGATTGTCGGCGCCCGCCTCTTTGACCCGTAGCCCGTGCTTGAGAATGTTTTGCCAGCCCAGCGGGGAAGTATGGGTGTGCTCCCGCGTTTGATGTGCCGTGGGCGCGACCCGCCACTGTTGACCCCATTATTGCGATCCGCTGCGGCATTGGAGGACAAAGCGTGCGTGTGTGTGTGTGTGTGTGTATGTGTGTGTTTGTGTGCTGGCATGGGCCGACAGTTGGCGGCTTCGCACCTCTGTCATTCAGATAGCAGTGGCGAGTGCTACACATCCAGCCGACTTAGTGTTTCAGCGGCTCGCGGATGGTAAAGAGTGTGTTTGTGTGAGTGTGTGCGTGCAGCACGTGGCGGAGCTCGCGCCTCGCTGGCCTCTTGTGCTGGCGCTCGCGCCTCTGCCACTCCCCGCGTTCTGCCCGAATCGCCTCCTGCCGCGCACCTGCCAGGCCTCTGTCCCCGATCTCCTCTGTGGACCCATCGGCACCTGCCTGGTTTCATTACTTACGCTCTCCTTTGGCTCTGGGCTGTTCCTGTTATCGAGCCCGTTCGCTGAGCCCTAGTCGGGCAGTTCCTCCAGTCGGTTATCAAGAAGCATGTACGGGGTGGTGTGTAGGGAGATGGTGGCCCAGCGAGTCCAGCTACACCCGACCTACTCCCCGGCCCTTCAGAGATGCGAAGCTGTGTTGAGCGATGAACTTATCCCGAGCGAATTTGTGTTGAGAGGCCGAATGGCGTACTTCGACGCTGTTGGTCTTGAGGTGATGGCGTAGCATCCAAAATAGGGCCTCATGTTGGGGTATACATCCTGATGGAGATGGCCGCGTGCTGAAAGTTTCACCAGCTCTGTGAGGTGACCTTTGTATTTTCACTTTTTCTGGACTGGTTCGCCTGAAGGCGAGCATGTTGTCCGTGCGATCGCTCGTATCAGATGTCTGCAGGATGTGCACACGACGCGCCTTGATGGAGGACCTCGAGGGCGCGGACGTTGTTGCTCCCAGTGGGGAAAGCATTCCAGCAGTTTACGGCCGTGCTTGATCAAAAGCATCAGTTCCTCGTGGATGTGTTTAGGTCTGGTGCTTCCCAGGCCCTGAATTATGCGATTGCAGAGGACTAAGTGCTGCAAGCGGTGTGGCTACCTGCTGCCATCCCAGAGTCAAGTCTTCCAGGAGTACCCTCATTGTGATGTTGATCGGCGTGGCATTCTTGCTGACTTCAATTTGCCAGCTGAGCTTCGGCGCACTTGCAGGAGAGTCCCTACCCAAAGCGGTTGGATCACGTATAGGTCCTGCCCCACGAGTTCTTCTCGCCGCTCAACGATGCTTGTTGTTGTGCGCATGCTTGGTATCAAAGCGGTGGACGAGAGTTTCGAGCCTGGCGATCGTCCCAATCTTCGTGAACGGAAGTTTCAGCGTCGAGGAGGCTTAACCCAAATATCGGCTGTCTCTTTCAGCAGCTCTCTTCCCGCCGCCGCCGCTGCAAGCACGGTACCCGCTGCGAGTGCGTCTCTTCCCCTCGGGACTCGATGCAGTTCCTGCGCCGGTAGGCATGGCACCCTGCCTGCCTCCACCTGCAGTTTCGGGTGGTGGTCATCGCGGCAGTTAGCGCTCCTTGCTATTATTCGCGACGGTGCCGTCGCCTCGCTGGGGGAGAAACAAGTGTGTATGTGTGTGTGCGCGTGTGTGTGTGCGCGTGTATGTGCGCGTGTGTGTGTGTGTGTGTGCATGTGTGTGTGTGTGTGTCTGTGTGTGTGTGTGTGTGCGTCTGTGTGTCTGCGTGTGCGCGTGCCCGGTAGCTTTCCCCGCTCGTCCCCCCCCTCCGCTGCACCCCTCCCCCGCACAGCGCGGCTCCCCGCGGGCGAGCCCTGTGCTTCCCGCCCTGGCTGCGTGAGGGCCCGGGCGCCCCTTCGGGCGCCCTGGTCGCATGACGCGCACGTGCTGGGGGCGCCGCAGATTGGGGGGCAGCGATGGGCCGCAGAGAGGATCCCTTCAGGGCCCCGAAGGGGGGGCCCCTGGAGGCCCAGAAGGGGCGCCCACATCGGGCCCGAAAGGAGTATACCTCTCTTCCCCCCCCCCCTTCTTGCCGCCCCGCCCGTACTTCGCGTCCAGCCCGGCCACGCTCTTCCGGCTCTCCTCCGCGGTCGCTGCGCGGGCGGCCCTCGGCCGCGACGCCGCAGGGTGCGCGCCCGCCCGTGCGCCCTCTGCGGCGCCGGGCTCCGCTTCGTCCTCGGCCTGCCGGGCCGCCCCGTCGCCCTGCTCCGCCTCGGCGGTCTGCGCGAACGAGATGGGCACGGAAAGAATGTCGGCGGCGAGCGAGGGGGGGAATTGAGAAGGAGAAGGCCTTCTCAGAAGGCGGCGGGACTTCTCAGAAGCCCTCGCGCCTTCTGAGAAGTTTTTTGTGTCTTCGGGGAAGGCTTAGAAAACTTCTCAGAAGTCCGGGGGGCTTCCGAGCCTTCTGAGAAGGTACGCCCCTTCTCACTTCCCCCCCTGGCTCGCCGCCTAGAATGGGTACGATGCCCAGCAGCAGTTCCTGTCCATTTTGAACAGGGCTCGCTGTCCGCGCCGCCGCGGCCTGTGTCCATTTGAGACGGAAGGCCGCCTGCCCAAGAGCGGCCGCTGCTGGTTTGGGACAACATTTGCTGTTGGGCATTGTGCCCACTGTTTCCGTGCCCATTTCGGGGGGGCCTGGCGGTGGTGTGCTCTCCTGCTGTGCTCGGTCGCTCTGTCCGCGCTCTCCTCGCAGGGTGGCGTGCTTTCCTGCTGTGCTCGGTCGCTCTGTCCGCGCTCTCTTCGCAGGCCCACCAATCTCGGCGGTGTGCCTCCACCGAGGGAAGGAGATCCCGATCTCGGTGCTGGTGGTAGCAGTTCTGGCTTCCAAGGTGGCCGAAATAGTGCCACCAGCACCGAGATCTAGGATCATCTTCCCCCTGTGTTGGTGAGGGTGTTGGTGTTGGTGCCCACTTCCAGGCCTCCAAAATCTCCCCTTTTGCTGTCCGCTCTGCATCGCCGCGTTGCTCGACCCTGGGCCGCCACCGCGTGCCTTCAGGAGCACCGCGCGGCCACGCCCGCACCTGCGCTCGTGATTCGCAGTGGTGGCGGACACAAGCGGTGTGTGTGTGTGCGTGTGAGGGCACGGGGGTGAAGAATAGGTGTCATTGCTTCACTCGGTGACTTCCTTCATCCTCGCGTCGGCTGACGCAGGTGCGCGCGAGAGAGGAAAAGAGAGGTGGATGTGCATGTGGGCGTGTTTTTGTTTATGGTTGTGGGTGTTCTCGCGCGCGTGAGCAGGCGTTGTGACCAAGCGCCTCGTCCTCACCCGTGTCATTGTCCCCGTGCCCATGCCTGTCCCGTTGCCCCTGCCCTTGCCCCTCCGTGTGCTCCTCCGCGATCTGTATCCCTAGGCCTCGTTCCCAGGCCCGCGAGCGCCCGTCTCCCTTCTCCTCTGACGCCCGCGGCGGGAGGCCACGATGTCGGTGGACACTCAGTGGCTCGGTGTTTCGGAGACCTTCGAGGTGGGCATTTGGCCGCAGCGGAGAGTGGGCTGTGAGGGGTGTCTCAGATTCGGTGGGGGCGACGGTTCTGGGTGTGTGGAGGGAGAGCTGCGTGAGGTCTGGCGTAATGGACATTTCGCGCTTCTGCCGGAGCCCGTCTCCTCCAAATGCATATATGTGACGGCGTGCATGCAAATGGATGGCGGCAGTGAGCTCGTCGAATTCAGAAGTACTCAACTTTGCCCTCAACTTGACACGAAATTCTGCCGATAGGTTTTAGTGGACATGCTTCTAGCGGCCCCGTGCGCCATTATAACATGTAATCAACACACGCGTCGAAGGAATGCGAACTCTAGGCATGTCACCGCTCAGTTCCCGAAAGAGTGTGGCGAGCCTCAGCGGTTTTTGCCCCGTGCCATAATGAATAATGAGACGACGTTCTGATTGCTTTAGTTGGTTGGTCTGTGAATCGACGACAAACAAGTCACGTAGGCGCAACTTGCGCCCAAATTGGCCCATGGCACTGGCGTCGTAGACCCACATAGGATACACACACACACACACTGGTTATTCCGGTGTTCACAGATCGCGGCGAAAAGTACATCCCCAGGCCGAAAGTTCTTTCCTCTTGTATTGCAACTATGAGAACACCGATGGATCCAATTGGATTATTTTTTTCGGGTGTGCGACAGTGTCGTGGATCCTATTTCTGTCTTGCGCGGATCCAATTTCCCGTGTGTGCAAAAAAACCATGGACCCCATTACTTTTTGGGAATACATCTACGGATGTGTGGATCTGTTGACCAAAGCCATGATTATACGTGAGAAGGGGGTCCTTCCTAGGACGGAGAGGGGAAGGAGTAGGGAGGAGACACGAAGCCGAAGACAGCGCCACATGTATCCGCTCACCTGAGCGGCACGTCGCTTCCGACATTCGGGGCTCAAGAAGAAAATCTCTCGGCCTGCGTAAGTATGAGCTTCACTTCGAATGCTGTTTAGCCCAGTGTGTTCACAATTATGCGTTGTATTTCGTCCTTGTCTATAAATTTCTTGAAGAACCGGATGGAAGCTGGCGAAAGGCAAACATGAGGGTTGACACGAAGGTTTGCGATACATCACGTGCAAATCAAACCACCGGATTCGGATTACGGCTTTCTCCTTGAGTACGAGACGCGTTTTCTTTGAATAGGACAATGAACCCATAGGTGTCGGTCGTTTTTCTCATTGAAACAGGCGGATCGCGAACGAGTCGAAGGTGGGTCGAACGCGGGTCGCAGATGAGACATGGGCGAGTATCGCGCGATTCGCAGGTGGATCGCAGCAGGTCGCGTGCAGTTTATCGGCAATCGTTGGCAGGTCGGGTCGCGTGCCACGGCCGCGGGCATGTCGTAGACAGGTCGCCTATTGGTCGGGGATAGGGCGCAGAAGCGTCTCGGGCGGGCCGTGGTTGGAACGCGGGCGACGACGGCGAGAACAGAAGCATCAGCAAGACTGAAAATGCGACGCCCAGTGGATCTGCCTTCAGCACGCATCCTGGGACACTGCGAGGCCAGCGGCCGCTGCCTCTGGCCTCCATGCCGCAGGCATCAAACAGCCGCTCGTCTCCATTGTCCTCGGCGCGTCGTCATCCTCCCACCGCTTCTGTTACTCCTTCTCCAGCGGGGGCGGGGCTGGTGTGACCTTCTCATCTAGTTCAAGGGCCCTTGTCGGGCCGTGCAAAGGGGCATTCTCTCTTCTAGTGGGCCCTCTTTTATCCGCTAGGGCCCCATGGGCTCTGCCTCGGGCCCTCTCATGGCCACGCCCTCTGGACCACTTGCCGCTCTTCCGGGGCCTACTGGAGCTTCCTGGAGCGCTTCCAGGGCGCCCACGGTGTGACATACTCGGCGCTCTTGCGGGCTCCTGGTTACGCAGATGCAAAATTCGGTCAGCCCCGGCAGTTTTTGGTCCTGGCAATATTGCAGCAGATTCTTGCCGGGGGAGCATGGGGCCCTTCGCAACTTACGAGGTGTCGTGGCATTGGGGCCGCAGGTCCATTACATGTGTTCCATGTGGCCAGCGGCTCCCTGGGAGCGCGAACCCAGCGCGTGTTGTAAGGGATTGTGGCCTTGGGAGCTCCGAGTCGTAGTCTTTTACCAGGGGCCATGGCCTTGCGAGCGCGGGCCCCTGGAGACAATTTTTTTTTATCCACCCAATGGATAACGCATGTTATCCCCCCCCTCCCCCCCCCCCCGTAGCGGTGACGCCTCGGCCCCGATCCAGCGCGCGATCCCGGGCAGCCTAGGGTCTGTTGTGCACGCGGGCGTGCATTGTGGTGCACGCAGGCAGTGCGGTGTGCACGGGCGTTCTGGCGCGTTCTGGAGCACGCATCCGTCGTGGCAGCAGCAGCCGTGGTGCACGCAGGCATAAGGGGTGCACGCAAGCATTGTGTACACATCACAGGCCCTGTGGTGTACACAGGCGCCGTGGTGTACACAATCGCTGTAGTGCACAAGGTCGCTACGATGCAAGCGTGCGTTGTGGGCTATAAGAGACTGTTCTTTTTAGGGTCCGGCGATCAACTGGGCTATCGGGCTCGTCCCCCCCTCCCCCCCCCCAGGATAACCTAACTTAGTCAGTTGTGCAGGTTCGGCGGGGAGCGCTGGGAACTCGCAGGGAGCGCTGTTTCCAACGGCACGTTGATGTTCGCAACAGCATGCTGATGTTTGGATGCGCGTTGGCGAATCGTTGGGCTTGGAGTGGCACGGGGAGACGACGACGACGACAGACGACGACTGACGACGACAGATGACGACTGACGACGACAGATGACGACAGACGACGACAGACGACGACAGACGACGACGACGACCGACGACAAACGACGACGACGACGACGACGACGACGACGACGACGACGACGACGACGACGACGACGACGACGACGACGACGACGACGACGACGACGACCGACGTCGTCCATTGCGGTGTGCGCAGGCACCGAAGCGATTTGGTGCGCGCAGTTGCTGTTGTTGCAGCAGGATGTGTTGTGTAAGTGCCCAGGATATGTTGTGTAAATACCCAGGCGTTGTTAGACACGCAAGCATAACGGCACGCAGGTCGCGCGGTGCACGCGGGCATCATGATGCACCAGGCGATGTGGTGAAGACAGGTTCTGTGGTGTGCACAACTGTCCCTGCAACATCAGTTACCATTCACGCAGGCATCCCAGGCATGGTGGTGTACAGAAACATTGTGATGCACGGTCATTGCGGTGTACCACGCCTTGTGGTATACAAGTGCGTTGCGGTGTACACATCCGTTGTTGTGCACACATTCGCTCTGGTGTACACATGCGTTGTGGGCCCAAAAGACGGGGCTGTGCCCTGCGCAGGAAATACCAATAATCACAATTAGCTTACATATTGGATTCGATACGTTCGGATCCCCTGCGATTTTCTGGAGTTCGGTCCCGCCGGGGGTCTTGGAAGTGTACGCAGTTCTGTAGTGTACGCAAGCACTTTGGTGCACGAGTATGGCACTGAAGCAGCAAACGTGCTTCACATAGGCGTCGTCGTGTACACAGGCAGTGTGTGTGTGTGTGTGTGGTGTACACAGGCGCTGCGGTGCACACGGCTGCTGTAGTGTACACAAGCATTGTGGTGTACACAGACATTGTTGTGTAGACAGGCGCTGCGGTGTACACAAGCAGCTGTGGAGTACAAAGACCTCGTGGCGCACGCTAGACAGGCGCTGTGGTGTACGCAAGCATGGTCGGCCAGAAACGGGGAGACCGCACCCCGGCCCAGAAAAATCTATAATCACAAGTAACCTAAATATTGAATTTGATACATTCGGGCTGGGCCCCCGGGGGTTTTCCAGATTTGGTCCCTGGCAGGACCTTGGAGGTGCACGGAAGCGTTGTGGCGCAAATGTTCGCCATGCGCTGTGGTGCACGCGGCTCCTGTGGTGTGCACACGCACCGCAGTGTACACAGGCGCTGCGGTGCGCGCAGAAGCCTCTGGTGCAGCTGCACTTGTGTTGTGCAAGACCGTTGTGGCGCACACATGTTGTGTAGTACTCACAGGCGGTATAGTGTACACAAGATTTCGCGGCTACGCTTAGCAACCGCATCCCGCGTATTCAATGCGAGCTGTCCAGACATCCTTAGACATTCTCAGACAGCGCCCGCATCGTCGCAGCACCAATAGTAGCATCGCGGCAGCATCGTTAGCAATTGTAGGGGCCGCAGCACCAGTGCGTGCGGGCATATGCAGGGCTGCCCACAGCGCGAAGGTTAGGTTATCGGCTGGCCCCCCCCTCCCTCCCTCCCCGGATGACCCGAGTTATTAATGGGCCCACGCATATTTTTGCACTTTTTCCTCCTCCTCCTCCTCCCTCTTCATTTCCGTGCGCACAGGCGTTGTGTTTCACATTCGCTGTGTGCTCAAAATGTCCAAGCGTTCTTCGGGCCAGAAAAAAACAATAATCACAATTAGATCATAATATTGGGTCTGAGACATTCGGCCCCCCAGCAATTTCCGGAATGTTGGCTCCGTCGGGGCTGTGGAGGTGTACGCAAACTTTGTGATACACGCAGGCAGAGTGGTGCACGCGGATGGGTGCTGAAACAGCAACTGTGGTAACAATCATCACAGGCGTTGCAGTGCAGACGGCTGTTGTGGTGTACATCGGCGTTGATGTGTGTGTAAAGGTATTCTCCTGGGGCCAGAAAAACAAACAATCACAACCAACTCAGATATTGAATGTGATACGTTCGGGCCCCCGACGATTTTCCGGAGCTTGGCCCCGTCTGTATTGCCTTCAGGCGTACACGAATTTTGCGGTGTGAGCAGGCGCTGTGGTGCACAGTGGGTGCTGAAACAGCGGCTGTGGTGCACGCAGGCTCCGTGGTGTGCACAGATCGCGCGATGTACACAGTCGCCGTGGTGCACACACATACGATTTCTGTAGCAGACCTGGTGCGGCATTGTACAGAGCCCGTGCTGTGTGCAGAGGCGCTGTGGGCTTGGGCGGCGACGACGACGACGACGACGACGACGACGACGACACTGACGACGACGACGACGACGACGACGACGACGACGACGACGACGACGACGTAGGCGGCGTGCCTCAGGGGGTGCGCGCCGCGGCCCCAGTTACCGTTACCCCCCCTTCACGCCCCCCCACCGGGGAACACGCGTTATCCCCTCAAAATATAAGAATGGCACCCTGGCAATTTAATGCGCGATGATGTACGATGTGTCGTGGCCTTCGGAGCGCGGGCCGGGTGTAATCTTCGTGGGCTCGTGGTTTTTGGAGCGCGGGCCCGTAGAATTTAGTTGATGTTGCGGAGGTCGTGGTTCCGGGAGAGTTGATCCCTGGTGAGTTCGCAAAGGATAGTGGATCGTGGAGGACGGATCGTTTTTGTCATCCCACTGGATATACAAAGGGAGAGGTAAGATACGACTCTACATTCCATGAGCATGAGACGAGTCTGCCGTGAGTGGCAGGGAACACCAGAGCATTGATGACACCCGCCGCTCCGCGTCAATATGGAGGGCCACCTGCACGCATTGGCTTGGGACATTTTGCGGTTATCTTCGGGTCTTCTTTTGGCCCTTTGGGGCCCTCCTTCTCTGGGGTCTCCCCGTGACCCTTCCTACTGTACCACTCGTGGGGCTTCATTCGGCAATCTCGTAAAACGGCGGACCTGGCTTGGCGGCTCTCAGCCCCGTCTTGCGGCCGTCTGGTGGTCTTCTTGGGGCCTGCCTTCGTCTTGTATATTCAGTGGTCTTCTTGGGCCATCCAGTCTTTTTCTTTGGGTCCCATTGGGTTTGTGTTACAGTTGGGGCGCTGAAGAAGGAACCCTTTGCGTTGGGGAGGGGCTCGGTGTTCCTTGATTGTTTCACAGTTTGCCTCAGGCTTTCCTTAGGTTTTCGAAGGTAAATCGAAGTTGAACCTGTGGGAAAAGGGGCCTCGTTCCTTATTTAGGGTTCCTTAGGTCAACGCCCCGACCGTATGCCAATGTGGGCCGTCTTGGGCACACGTCCAGGCTGAATGGCGACGGAGGTATCACGCTTTTTATCCGTAAGGGCTTCGCCCCCTGTGGCCGGCCCCCTCTCTCGGAGAGTGGGCCATGGAAGAGCTAAGTCATGAGGCCTTGGCGCTGTCGTGAAGCAGTATCGAAACTTCATGCGGAGCCGATTCGCAATCAGCAAAACCAACTGATCACAAGAGGGGTTACCACACCTGGCGATTGGTAAGACGTGTATGGTTTACGGGCTTGGTTACCACACCTTGCGATTAAAGGGCCGAGGGAGTTCTCGCAGTTTGGGTTACCACGCCTTGCGATGGATGTGCGTGAAGGGTGGCACCGAATTTCAGAAATGTGGCAAATCCCTTGTGTTTTTGGACCCTGACCCCGCGGATCTGCGTGAGGGGTGGCACCGAATTTCAGAAATGTGGCAAATCCCATGTGTTTTTGGACCCTGACCCCGCGGATCTGCGTGAGGGGTGGCACCGAATTTCAGAAATGTGGCAAATCCCTGTGTTTTTGGACCCTGACCCCGCGGATCTGCGTGAGGGGTGGCACCGAATTTCAGAAATGTGGCAAATCCCATGTGTTTTTGGACCCTGACCCCGCGGATCTGCGTGAGGGGTGGCACCGAATTTCAGAAATGTGGCAAATCCCATGTGTTTTTGGACCCTGACCCCGCGGATCTGCGTGAGGGGTGGCACCGAATTTCAGAAATGTGGCAAATCCATGTGTTTTTGGACCCTGACCCCGCGGATCTGCGTGAGGGGTGGCACCGAATTTCAGAAATGTGGCAAATCCCCTGTGTTTTTGGACCCTGACCCCGCGGATCTGCGTGAGGGGTGTCGATTTCGAGCCCCCCCAGCAATTCAGACAACGCGCCCAGGAGACGCTAAAAAATCTGGTTTGGGCCTCCCCCCCCTCGCGCGGTCAATCAACTAGTTACAGTAACCAGCAAGAAGCAGAACTGTAACACTGGAAACTACAAGCTACAACTGGCACAGGAAACTGCGAACCCGCGCCGACAGCCTGGTGGCCCCACAAGGGGGCCGGCGGATAGCAATTTGGTGGCAGTCCGCAGTGGACGCGTCTTGCGGTTCCGGCCCCAAGACGGGGCGTGGTCCCCCAATCGATTCACCAGGAGCTGAGTTGGTTCAGGACCGGTCCGCGCCTGATTATGTCTACAGTTTTGCTCGTTCGTGCTCTGCCCCTCACCCGTTGACAGGTCGACCTGCCGCTCAGCCGCTTCTGCTGCGGCGCAGGCTCCCTGAAGGTGAGGCTGTTCGGAGTGAAGCCAGTGCGCGTCAAGGCATCAGCTGGCAATTCGGGGGGAGGAGGAGAAGGAGGACGGCGAGGAGACGAGGATCAGGAAGATGATGCGCAGCATAAATCGTTTCCGAGCTTGACGACAATTTGAGTTGGGACGACCAGTCGTGCGGCCACGCAGCGTTTTTCGTAATGGCGGGATCTTATCGCACGACCAAATGAGTGCTCTGGTTTTTTCGGCCTCCGATTTAGCAGTCAGCACGCTGGAAAGGAGCCCCGAGCTTCTGGCTGCAGCATTCCGTTGCCGAGTTCCTGAAGAAGGTAAGTACTTCGTGGACGGATGTTGTCTCATCAGATGGGCGCCGGATCCCTCCCTTCCAATCTTCTCATTCGTTGGCTCGTGTCGTGTTTGTTTTTGCTGACCTCGTTTCTGTTCTTGCCCAAGTTCATTCCTGCCCTAAGTTTTGCGTCCCATGCCGCCGTGCCAGCATACTCAAAGCAATGTATCGGCATCATCCCGACATGTTTATACGATATGTGCGTCGCCCCCCCCCCCCAGGGGCGACGCGCGCATCGAGAAATCTTGTGGTATATATGTGCGTCTATGCGTCGTGGCGGGCGCTTTCTGGCCACGCCGCTCGGGAAACGGTATACTACAAGATGGGCATGCCAGGAGTGCGGGTCGTACGCTCGCCCCCAAGGCGGACAGCAGGCATCAGCACGTCTCTGTGCGTCCCAAGATGGGCGCAGGCATCTCGCGGTCTGTGCGCACGTTTCCACGCGTCGGTCAGCGCCCGGTGGTGCACGCCCTCCGCCGCTGGCCGCGCGGGAAGCGAGCTGTCCTGGGGTCAGGTGGGGGCCACGCGCCGGGGCCTCCTGACGACCTGGCCGGGTCGCGTCGGAGCTCCTCTCGGAGGCGGATGGGCCTCCTGCCCCGACGCGTCGATTCGCGACTTGGCCGTCTTCGGTCCGCGCGAGGGCGTCGCGGCCGTCGTTTTTGCGGGTCCAGGTCCGCCGGTTTGTCGGCCCTGGGCCGTTCTCACTGAAGCGTGGTTTTTGCTACAGGGAGGCTCGTCCACCGCCGATGATCGGGGCCTCCGATGGCCACAGCTGGGCTCTCGCCGCGTGCATGGCTGGCCACCTCGGGGCCGACGCGGGGGCCTGCTGGGCCACCTTGGGCGAGGATGTCCTCCCGGGGCTCTGGGCAGAGCTGGGAGCCATCCTGCGGCGCCCGGGGGCCGTCTTGAGGCCTTCTGGGGGGCATCCCGGGAGCACAGGGCGATACAGGACTAGCCAGTGGTCCTGTTCCTGTCCCGTTGGAGGCGTGCAGAGATGAACACCCGCGGGTCTGCTCACGCTTACAGGCCTGCAGGTCTGCAGTCCTCATGTGCTCTCTCGTCTTCGTCCTTATCCTCACCGTCGTCACCGTCATTAACGCCATCATCGTCACCGTCACCGTTACTTGCCATCACGTTCATCGTCGTGATCCTCATCCTCACCGCCATCATTCGATGTACCTCATCACCGTCATCGTCATCATCATCACCATCATCCCTGTTCGCGTCAACATTGTTGCCTCCCCATCGTCATCCCCGTTGTCCCCATTGGCATCGTCACCATCCTCTCCGTCAGCCTCATCAATGTAAAATAATGTTCCCCATCACCGTCATCATCGGCATCTGTGTTCATCATCATCATCATCATCATCATCATCATCATCATCATCATCATCATCATCATCATCATAATCATCATCATCACCATCACCATTAGCATCGCCATCGCCATCCTCATCAGTATCATCATCACCATCATAGCATCGCCATCACCATCATCATATCATCACCGCCAGCGCCACCATCATTATCATGTTCACCATCACCATCAAACTCACCATCAGCATTACCATCACCAGTATCAGTACCATCATCATCATCACCATCATCATCACCATTATCATCATCACCATCATCATCGCCATCAGCATCATAATCAACATCGTCATCATTATCATTACCATCGCCAAGATCATCATTATCACCACCATTATCATCATCACTATCATCATCACCATCATCATTATGATGATTACCATCTTCACTAACATCATCTTTGACAACATCATCGTCACCACCTCCATCATTATCATCATTACCATCATCATCACCATCATCATCAGCAGCATCATCATCGTCATCAGCAGCATCATCATCATCGCGTCGACGACCTCGGCCACGGTTGCTCGGCTTGTCTCTCCTCGGCCGACTTTCGCGCTGCCGCGCGCCGTGCCCGGACCGCCGACGACGACGTCGCCGTCGACGTCGTCCTCGATTTCGTCGTCGTCGTCGTCGTCGTCGTCGACGTGGCCATCGCCGTTGCCGTCGCCGTCGCCGTCGCTGACGCCGTCGCTGTCGCCCTTGCCGTCGCCGTCGCTGTCGCCGTCGTCGTTGTCGTCGTCGTCGTCGTCGTCGTCATCGTCATCGTCTGGGTCGCAGGCCCGCCCCGGGGTGCACGCCCGCCTCCAGGCGTCCACGATTCGTTCCGGTCGGTTGCGTCGCAGTCGTCGCAGTCGGTTGCAATGGCCCGTTCGGTTCGGTCGGCTGCCGCGTCGCTGCGCCCTCCCGGCCTGCCTTTGGCCCGCCAGTGTCGGCGCGCGCCCAGCCGCCCCTCGCGGCTCGAGGGCGCGAGAGCTCAGCCGCTCGAAGGCTCGAGGGCTCGATGGCTCGAAGCTTCGTCGAGGGCTCGAGGGCCCAGGCTCGAGGGCTCGAGGGCTCGAGGCTTCGTCGAGGGCTCGAGGCTCCGAGGCTCGAGGCTCGAGGGTTCAGGGCTCGCGGGCTCGAGGGCTGCATGGCAGGTGGGCGAGGGGGAGGGGGTGGAGGAGAGAGGCGGCCAAGGGCGAGGGCGGATGAGACAAAGGAAGAAGAACATGATCAGGAAGAGGTCAGGGGAGAAGCTTGATAGGCAGTCCCCAGCCGTGCAAAAGGGAGGCGCGCGCCTGCCCCCTCAAAGTCCCAGTCAGAAAACGCGCGTCGCATTTGCGTCCGACAAGATATAGCTGCGCTGAGGTGTCAACGCGCTTCTATGTGCGCATGGGCCATGCTGTTGTGGATCGTATCGGTTTTCTCCTCGCACTCAGCCTGACCGCGCCATCGCTCGCGCGATGGCAGGCGCTGTGAAGCCTGATTGCGCGATGATGCTTGCGCGCGCAAGCCCCAGTACACGCGGTGCCATGCGATGCCAGCCCTCTTTGGCAGTGGCGCCTAGACGCGTGATGTGGCAATGGGCAGGGTAGTCGCGCGTCGATGGAAGTCTGTTGAGGCGTAGAATAAAGGGAACGTTCAGGTCACCGTGCCGTTGCCCGCATGGCGCGACAGGGTTTCCCGCGTTCGCGCTGCCCGCGGTTCCGCGTAGATTTTGCAAGGCCGCACCTGGGCGCGATCGGCCACAATTGCCGTCGGTCGTTCGGGCAATTGGCCCCTGCCCTCCAGGGAGGGTAGTCGCCCTTCCCGCCGCTGCGTGCGCATTGAGTTTTTTCTTGTGATGCGACGTTGCTCTGCGGCTTTGCTTCTTGATGCCGCTTATTTTCTTTCTCTCGTCCGACAAGCGCATCCGCGCGGTTTGCTGGAGAACACAGCGCGCGCGACATTTGTACCCTGCGACGCGATGACCCCGTCAGTTTCCTTGATGTTTCGCGGGCGCGTGCATTTGAAAATCTACGTTGCCCCATCGCTCCAGTTTAGAAGCGCCGCTTCCTTCGCGCCCGCGATGCATCGATCCCATGTCGCATCAGTCGACCCCCCTGGCGTCTTGCCAAAGCTCGAGACATTGGCGAGCGCGCGCGTTCAGCGGGCTTGAGCCTCGGCTGTGCCTCGCGCGAACTACGCGCCAGATGGGCATTCATTTTGCGGGGCTACCTCGAAGCGCACCTGAAGCACGCCTGGGCCACTCCCGAATCACGCCTGGACCATTGCTGAACCGCGCTTCACCCGCGCGCGGCTGGGCTGCCACTATGACCTTAGAATTCCAAGCCGCGCGTGAGCCGCACCTGCACAGCGCTGGCAACGCGTCCGAACCGCACCTAAGCCACGCTGGAACCACGTGTGCAGCACACAGTGGTTGCACATGATGCACCGATCCACGCCTGAACCGCCCCTGAACCGCACCTGAAACACAACTGAACCACGTCTGGGCCACGCCTGAGCCATGGCCGACCGACACCTGAAACTAATGTCATAGACTCTTGCTCTTTCGTGTGCTTGAGTCGCGCCCGCGACATGGCTGAAACGCACCTTTAGCATGCCTAAACAACGCCTGAGCTGATCAACACTTGAACCACGCTTGACTCAACGCCGAATCACACTTCAAACGGATGCCAAAGTTCCACGTGCTTTTCCATGCTTGAGTCGCGTCCGCGCCACGGCTGAACTGCGCCGGAGCCACGCCTGAGCCGCGCCTGAACCAAGCCGGAAACATGGTTGAATCAGGCTTGAAAACAGGTTTCTTGCTTACACGTCGTTTCCTTGAGCCGTGCCCGCGCAGCGGCTGAATCGCGCGTGAATCGCGCCTGAGCCGCGCCTGAACCGCGCCGGATCCATGGCTGGACTGCGGCCGAAACGCATGCCGGAGTTCCCAGCGGCATTCTGCCATCTTGAATCACGCCCGCGACGCGGCAAACAAAGGCGCAATATCGTCACCTGAACCGCGCCCGGGAATCACTTGAACCACGCCTGAAGCATAGTTGACTACGCCTGAAGAGGATGAAAGAGCCCTTCGATGTTTTTCGTTCGGATGTGTCGCGCCCTCGCTACGCTTGAACCGAGCCTGAGCCACGCTTGAACCACGCCTGCGCCACGCCTCAACCACGCCTGGACCATTGGCGAGCCACGCCTCGAACGGATGCCCGGGCTCCTATTTTTATTTCGTTTGCTTGAGTCGCTCCCGCGCCGCGGCTGAACCTCTCCTGGGCCGCGCCTCAAGCCGCGCCTGATACACGCCTGAATCACGTTTAAAACGTGGCGAAACCACGCCTGAAACGGATGCCAGAGTTCACGCTTGCAGTTCGCGCGCGCGAGTCGTGCCCGCGCCAGGCTGACAGGCGCCTGAATTATACCCCAACCGCGCCTGAACTACGCCCGAACCACGCATGAAACATTGTTGAACCACGCCTGCAGGGGATGACCGAGTTCCTGCTGTTCGCATGCTTGAATCGCGCCCGCGCCGCGGCTGACCTGCGCCCGAACCGAAATTGAACCCCGGCTGGACCATGCGGGAATCACGCCTGAACCACAACTGAACCATGTCTGAACCACACGCGAAACGTGCGCCATAGTTCTCACTTGCGTTTCGCGTGCTTGAGTCGCGCCGGCGCTGCGGCTGAGCCGCGCCTGACAGGCGCTTGAACCGCTATCGATCCGCGCCTGAACTACGCTTGGACCATGGTTGATCCAGACCGGAAACGGATGCCAGAGTTCCTGCTTGGTCTCGTCTGATCGGTTCGCGCCCCCGCCGCGGCCGAACCGCGCCTGGACCGCGCCTGATCCACGGCCGAAGCACACCTGAACCAAGCCTGGATCATGTCTGTGCCCACCTGAAACGAATGCTAAAGTTTGCAAGTGCATTTCGCTTGATTGAGTCGCGCCCGCGCCGCAGTTGAACCGCGCCCGAACTGCGCCTGAACAACGCCTGAACCGCGCCTGAGCCACGCGCGAACCATGGCTGAACCACACTTGAGACAGATGCCAGAGTTCTCACTTACATTTGGTGTCCTCGAGTCGCGCCCGCGCCGCAGTTGAGCCGCGCCAGAACCGCGCCTGAACCGCGCCCGCGCTTAGATTGCGGGGCCCGCTGCCCCTGGGCGCGCGGCGTCGGCCCCCCGCCCCGAACGGCGCGGCGTCGCCTGCAGGGGCGGCGCGGCGGGGGCGACGCAGGGGCGCGCGTCCAATGCGAAGTGGAGAAGTCCATTGAGAATCGCCCGGCGCGGCGCCCGCCCGCCCCCTCGAGACCGCACGGCGCCGCCCGGCTCGCGGCCGCTCTTTATTCGGGCGTCGCGCCAGCCGCGCGCGCGTGCAATTGGACGCGCGCGCCGCCTCAATGCGCGCGCTGCGGCGTCGGAGCGCCTGCCCCGGCACGGGGCAGGTTTTTTGTGCGTTTTCTGACTTGCGCGCGGGAGTTGGCGCGAGGGCAGCGGGCGCGCGGCGCCATCTTGCCCAGCCGCGGCTGGCTCGACGGCCCCATGGGAGGCCTTTGCCGACGAGGGGCCGGCCCGCTCGCCGCCTCGGCGGCGAGCGCCCATGCCGGGCGCAGAGGCTAGCCTGAAGTGCGCCGGAACCGCGCATGCAACGCGCCCGAACCACGCCTGAACCACGGCTGAACCACACCTCGCACAGACGCCAGAGTTTTTGCGTTTCGCAAGCTCGAGACGCGCCCGCGCCAGGGCGGAGCCTGAACCGCGCGCGAACCACGCCCACGTGGCACCTGAGCTGCGCTTGAACCATGGCCGAACCACACCTGAAGCGGACGCCAGAGATCCTATCTGCATTACGTTCGCTTCAGTTGCGCACGCGCCAAGGCCTGCCACCCAGCGCCGCTCCTGAGCCGCCCCTGAACCGCGCCTGAACCACGGCCTCACCAGACCCGAAACGGATGCCCGGGTTCTTGCTTGAATGTCGCGCGATTGTGTCGCCCCCGCGCCGCGGCTGAACCGCGCTTAAGCCACGCCTGAACCAGCGCGCCTTACCGTGCCAGAACCATTGCTGGAACTGCGCCTGAACCACAACCCAACGACGCCTGAACCACACCTGAACCACGCTTCAAACCGCGGCTGCTTCACACGTGACACGGACGACAGGGTTCTGATTTGCATTTCGTTTGCTTGAGTCGCGCCTGCGCCACGGCTGAACCGCGCCTGCGGCATGCCTGAACCACGCCTGGCTCACGCCTGAACCGTGGCAGAACCACGCCTGAAAACGCGGCCAGAGTTTTTCACTTGCTTGTCATTTGCTTCAGTCGCGCCCCTGCCACGGCTGAAACGCGCCTGAAACACGCCTGAGAAACGCTTGAACCACACCAGAACTGCGCCTGAACCGCGGCTGAATCGCACCTGAAACGGACGCCCGAGTTTTTATATGCACGTCGCTTGCTTAAGCCGCGCCTGAACCACAATCGAGCCACGGCTGGACCACACCTGAAAAAACGCACGAAACACGGCTGAGTCACACGCGGAACTGATGCCAGAGTCTTTGTGTGCATTTCGTTTGCATGAGTCGCGCCCGCGCCACGGCCGAACCAAATTTGAACCACGCCTGAATCTCATTTGTTCCATATCCATGCCTGGGCAACTGCTGAACCACACCGGAACGAATGCTAGAATCCAGACTTGAATTTCGTCTGTTTGAGTCGCGCCCGCGTCACGGTTGAACCGCGCCCGTGAGCCACGCCTGAACCACGCCGGAGCCACACGCGAACCATGGCTGGACTATGGCTTAGCCGCACCTGTCACGGATGCCATTCCCTTTCCTCCCCAACATGTGCTCCTTCCTCCTCCTTCTCTTCGCCCTCCGTCGTCGTCCTTCGCCCAGGAGTGCCAAGCTCGAAGGTTCGAGTGCTCGAGGCTCGAGCCGCGAGGCTTAAGGGCTCGAGGGTTCGAGACTCGAGTCTCGAGGGCTCGATGGCTCGAAGCCTGGCCGGTGTGCCTGGTGTGCCTGGTCGGTGTGCCTGGCGTGCTTGGTGTGCCTGGTCGGTGTGCTTGGTGTGCCTGGTGGCCTGGTGGGCGTGCCTGGTGTGCCTGGTCGGTGTGCCAGGTGTGCCCAGTCGGTGTGCTTGGTTGGCCTAGTCGGTATGCCTTGTGCGCTGCTGAATCTGGTCACCATCGCCAGCTATTACCATCATCCGTTTTGCCATCAGCATCACCGATCATCACCATCACCCATCATCCCACCACCATCATCCGTTTCATCCTCACCATCACCCATATCACCACCCTCGTCGTCAGTGGGCCGCCCCAAGCCTCATCACCAAGCCTCACCACTATCATCGTCATCGCATCTTCACAACCACCCATCCCATCACCACCTGTATCCGTCCCATCATCACCCGTCATCCATTTCATCACCATCATCCGTTTCATCACCATTATACATCGCGCCAGCATGGAGTATTGAGGGCGCGCAGACCTGCAGGAATGCAGGCCTGGGGAACTGTTCGTTATATATACATATATATATGTGTATATATATATATATGTATCGTGGGTGTTTCCATTACGGTTTGTTTCCCTGGGGCGTCTCGAGGCCCTCTAGTTGAAGGTTTTTGGGGCTTTCTTGGACCTTCATGGGCCCCCCTTGATTCCAGCGTGGGCTCTTTGGGGCTTACGTCGGCCATCTTGGGTCGCCTCTGGAGATCTCTTGAGCCCTCTTGGCAGCCCAATGGCGTCCCTCAGTGAACCCTGGAGGCCAGAGGGCCGAGGGCCCCCTGTCCCGAGGGCTTTCTTTGGCGTCGCGCGACCGTCCCGGTAAAGAGCAGAAACCAGACAGGACATGAGAGACATGAGACACAAAGCAAGAGACAGGGCAGGAGACAGAAAACATTGAGCAGCAAGGCGGCCGCTCAGGGTGCAATCACGACCTTTTGCCCCCATGGGGGCCGAACTCACGGGCCCACATTCACAGTGAGTCCAACTGCTGTGAACACAACCTGCGAGATGTTAGCACTCGATATGTTCGATGACCTAGCGTTTTCTTCCGCGTGGCCAACAACTGTGGTCCATTCCTCCGTCCCTGGCCAGCCTTCCTCGGCTCGCACGGCTCCTGCTTGTCCCGTGCACGCTCGTGGTGTGTGTGTGTGTTTTTTCTGGGGGGCAAGCTGGGAATATGGTGCAATCGCATGCATCGCGCGTTCCACAAGGGTCCTCGCCTTCGACGAGTCTCGCCTTCAGCGAAGGCGACAGAACTACAGTCGGGGCCCTGAAGAAGGAACCCTTTTCGTTGGGGAGGGGCTCCGCGTTCCTTAAGTGTTTCGCAGCTTGCCTCATGTTTTCCTTATGTTTTCGATCGGACATCGAAGTTTAACTTCTGGAAAAAAGGGGCCTCGTTCCTTATTTTGGGTTCCTTAGGTCAAGACCCTCACTGTACAGCAGCGGTGGGTCCGCCGGCGGACCCGGGCGGAAAGCGCTCGCGCAGGGCGGCGGACGTAACACCGAGGCCTCAGAAGTTTCCGGGATTCGGGGGGCTCGGTAGTGGGCCACGGGGAGGGGAGGCGATGGCAGTGGGCGCGCTGCCTTTCCTCATCCCACTTACCAGCCTGGAACATATCCCTATCCCTAAGCTGGGCATCGCCTCGTCACAATGCCAATCTTGGGGATTCCCTTAGTTGTTCAGGGCGCATCCCTAAGATTGTCATCGCCTTTCGGCGTGTCAATCTTAGGGATAGGGATAAGTTCGAGGCTGGTGACCCACGCCTCCCAGCAGCAGGCGCACCAGCAGACGGTGAAGGCGCCCGGGGCCGCCCGGCGCGGGGCCTGCTCGGGCTGGCGGCTGTTCCACGAGCCTCCTCGCGCAGCGCTCCCTACGGACGCGTCGGAGGAGCTCGACGTAGACTTCAGTCGGGCCTGTCCCTCTACAGGAGGAATATACAGAAATAGGCAACAAAATAGCCTGGGGACGATTGTTTAATTATTTGTTCAGTATGTTTGGAGCATGTTTGGGGTACTTTTTATTTTTCGTCTAAAATCCCCCTGTAGGGGGACACGCCCGACCTAAACGTAGACACCACGTTGTCTGGTCGGCCAAGAGCCAGGGAGCTCTGCGAAGGATTTCGGTGTGCAGAAGCTCCAGCCTCCCACAGGTTGAACCGCTGGTGCGCCTATACGCTGAGCTTCTTGGTCGACCAGGCGGCTTGGTGTACACACCGAGTCCCGCCCAGCGCTGATCTCAGCGACCGCAGCGAGCGCCCGCGGACGCTCTCGCAGGCATCTGGTTGGTCCTAGAAGATACCGATACCGCTGCCCTTCCCTCGTCGCCACGGCTGGATTTCCCTGGAGATCCTGGTCAGAGCGCGCCCTGGGAGGGGTGTGGGGAGCAGCGGCATGGATGTTTGTTGCTGTCCGCAGTCAGGCGGACTTGTCTTGTGGCTCTCGTGTGCCGTCCTGAAGCCCTCCTCGGCGGTTCGTAGGCCGTACTGGGTGCCCTCATACAACAAAAAGACGGTATGATCCGTAAGTCTGGCTGGAGGGTTCTTGGGAGGCTCTCTTGGGCCGTGCACGGGGAGGTGGGCACCTGTCCAGCTGAAGCTGTGGACGTGTGGGAGTCTCCTGGGAATTAGTGGGGTCCATCCAGAGCCTCTCTTCGGGCAATTTCGGGCGCCTTTGTTTAAGCCCCGCTTGATGCTGCCCAGGGTCCCCTTTGTTACCCTTTGGGGGCATCCCAGAGCCCATCGTTAAACATGTGCAAAAGGTTCCGACTGAGAGACAGGACCTTCCAATGGGTGCTCAACCCGTGCGTCGCCTCTTCAGGCCATCTTGGGGTGTTCTTGGAGGCCTCTAGGGCCGTCTTGGTGACTGTGTGGGCCCCTCTTGGGGCTCCGTTGGGCAATTGTGTCCTAACCATCCTATGGTGTTGGGTCTTCGTTTCGAGGAGACAGCGCCCCGCGTTCACTCACTCCTCCTCCCCCTCCTGCCCCCTCCCCTCCTCCCATCCCTGCCCCTGCCCTCCGCACCAGCCACATATCATCACACCCCTCACACGTTTCGTGGCCCCATAGGGAGCTCCTCCGTAGGCCCAAGAGGCAGGACTTACATGCGGCTCCCCGCCCACCGCATGTCAATTTCCGTACACCCCTCACACGCTTCGTGGCTCCATGGGGAGCTCCACCGAAGGCCCCAGTGGCAGGGTTCACATGCGGCTCCCCGCCCACCGCACTTCCACATGAGCACTCCTCACATTTCGAAACCCCATCGGGAGCTCCACCGAAGGCCCCAGTGACAGGGCTCGCATGCGGCTCCCCGCCCACCGCACCTCAATGTCTGCACACCCCTCACACATGTTGTGGCCCCATACGGCGGCTCCACCGAAGGCCCCAGTGGCAGGGTCCACGTGCGGTGTTCCGCCCACCGCATGTACATGTCGGGGCACCACTAAGACGCTCCGCGGCCCCACAGGGAGCTCCACCGAAGGCCCCAGTGTGGCAAGGTGCGGATGCGGCTCCCCGCCCACCGCTCATCCATGTCCGCACACCCCTCACACGCTTCGTGGCCCGATCGGGAGCCCCACCGAAGGCGCACCCTCCACGCGCTTCTCAGCCCGATAGGCTCGCGGGGAGTCCCCTGCGCTCTGCCTCCAGGAGCTGCCCGACGCCCGCACGCTCTGCCCAGCGCCTTGCCCGCTGTCCGCCACCCGTGCGCTTTGCACCCTTCCGCGGACGGAGCCGCGGCCACCAGGGCGCCAGGACAACGGAGGGAGAAGTACGAGAGGAGGCGTTGATACAGAATGGCGGGGCCCCGGCTCTGTTTCAGTGCTCCTCCTCCTCCTCCTCCTCCTCCTCCTCCCCGGGCTCTTGATTCATTGCCACGTGATCTTTCGATCCGCCTGGCGGCCGGCGGCCATGCTAGAGCACCATCCAGCTTTCCCAACGCGTCGTCGTTCGGGAGCAGCGCCCTCTGCCATCTGCCGCATGCTGACCAGAGGTTTCATTATTCACCAGGGGAGAAAAAGTAACAACAAAGAACAGCAAAAAATGGTGGGGCCCGGGGGCCAGGCGGGCAGGCGCGCACCGGCGCACACAGGACACTTTTTTTGTTCCGTCGCGCGTCAGTGGCGATCCGCTCGCGCGCGCTGGCAGCAGAGGGCGCGCGGTGTGCGAAGTAACCGGCAGCAGCAGAGGGAACGGGGGGCCGCAGAAAGCAGGCGGGGGAGCGGGGCACTCGCCACGGAAAGTGTTGCGGGATGGGCGTGCCGGTGCGGCCAGCTTGTGCTGGGGCGACCTGGCAGTGGACGCGGGGCGGCGTCGCGACCACGCATGGCGGCGCACGGGGTTCGCGCTAGACGCTAAACAATGCACTCCCCCGCGAGGCCAGCGGCTTCCCTCCCAGTCAACGCCGCAGTCCTTTTCCTGGCCCCCTCCTCCTTCTCGCCTGCCCCACGGTGCTCAAAGCTGCTCATGGTTGTGTCTCTCGCTCGGATAATTTAGCTATATTGAAGCTTTGAACACCCGTCGGAAGAGAATCGGCAACACGGCGTAAGTGAGTCAGAACATTGGGTTGTTAGTTTTGGGAGGCTCCGTGGCCATTTCGGGAGGTTGTGGGGCTATCTTCTTGGGCATCGGGGTCGTTCCTTACGTGTACGGGGCGTGCCATCTTGAGCCAGCTTGGACCGTTTGACGCTATCTTGTAGGCCATCTTAGACTACCTCGGACCATTTGGGAACCATCTCGGGCCATCCTGGACGCTCTGACTACCCACGCTGACTACCCACGCCAGCCTCCGTCGAGATCCCCATGAGAGAAAGGGCAGAGGGGAAGTTTAGTTGTACTGTAGGGTCATGCGGCAATGGCGCGCCAGCGACGCCGGCGACGACGTTCAAGGTTGAATTTCGCATGATGGAACGACGCGGAAGCACTGAGGGGCACGGGAACGCCACAGGACCCGACGGAATTCAACCTTGACTGATCGAGGCCGCGATCGTTTCAAGGTTGAACGATCGACGCGGTGTCAGAAACCTTTGCGCGCGCGCGCCGACGCCGCACGAACGTAGCGTACGGAAGAGCTCGTGCCCTAGACCGCTTACGTCTGAAGGGTTGGAGAGGTTGGGGGGCTGTACCTGCTTCGAGGCTGGTTCAGCTCCTAGTGAGGAAGCGACGGCGTGCAGCGCCGGCAATGCCCAGGCAGCTCTGACCACGCAAAGGCTCCGCGAGGGAGTCTGTTCTCACGTTGCCGTACCTCCGACGTCCTGAGTTTTCCCCGCGATGATGTTTGTACCACGGGTGTGCGCGCTTAGCATGGGTCGGGGGGCTTCTCGGGGGCAGGGTGCATCTTGGAGGTCTGGTTAGCCACCTTGGGGGGGAGGGGTTCTGGAGCCGCTCGAATTTTTCATCTGGGCCCCCTTTTCGGGGCCCTCTTGGAGGTGTGTCTTGGAGGCTTCCCATGGAGGAGCTCATCCGAGCGTGATGGCTTCAGAGCCCGCAGCTGTCCGATTACGCCGTGGTGATTGATTACGAAATCTACTAAGAAGCCTGATTATCGCAAACTTCAGGGACTCCAGAGAGGGATGGGGCCGAGATCTCCAGACTCAATGACACGGTCGTTTCGTGAGGGAAGTTTGACGATGGGTCACGCCAGAGCCGTCGACGCGTCCAGCCAGGCTGGCTCTATTCAGCTGGGGATGGCGGTGCATCGCTAGCGGGGCATCGTAGGAATCCTCATATTTGGTACTGCAGCTGCCACCTGCAGCCATGTAGCGCTGCTTTAGGGCAGCTTTGTCTCTGCGGGGGAGGCGATGCAGCGCCCCCAGAGAGCTTATGGTCAGGGGGCCTGGCCGCGACACAGTAGACATCGGATGTTTACGCGAGACGCATCAGCAAGGACATACGACGATCTTCTTCAGGTGTCTGCAGGCGAAGTCGACAGTTTGCTCCGGGCTACGATCTTGCTTCGATTGACAAAACTGGAGTTTGATCCCTCGGAAGTGGGGTAGACATGTGCGTGCAAGGATTTGCTGCGAATGGTAATTAATGATTTTGTGGATTGGAAGTCGAGCAGCAATGTCAAGAGTCGCCGAGCTAATCGGAATCTTCGGGAAGAACGGGCAAACTATTGAGGCAATGTGGTGTACTCTCTGGGGTGCCTCGATCAGGATGGCGTTCTCGCCGTGGCCCTATCCGAAGAGGAGCGGGCACTGATATTTGAGCATGCGACCATTGCTGTGTTGGAAGCTTTGCCTGACCTGTTGCAGCAGACTAAGCCAGACTATTTGGTTCAAATCGTGTTCGGGTTGAGGCTTTCGAGCCGAAACCTCCAGACAGATAACATATTCAAGACTTGCTCCCCGTTTCGCGGACCTTCTCCACAAATGCAATCAGAAACGTTACCTTTGTGTCGTCAACGTTCTCCTCGCATACTCCCGTTATTTGTTGGCAGACCCTGCAATTGTGGATGTGTATGTAAGTTTGAAGGACATCGCTGGTGAGATCTCAGTCGATGTTCCAAACGAAGTCCAACTATTGTCTACTGCGGCGCAGGGCTACGCGAATTATGGAACTCTCTGCGATGGAAAAATCGATCCGACATGCTCTTAGTATGTTCTTTTGGCGAAGCGAGGTGTTTCCGATAAGCTTGATGTCGAAAGGCGGTTGAAGAAGGGCCACAGTGCCATCGGCATCGTCAGCATTTGGGAAGGATGAGTTAGGAGATGGAATAGAGTACATCCAATGTGTGGAAGGTTCAAGATGAAGACCATATCTTTCAGGCCAGCAATGTCACTGGTGATGTCAGGCTGGTTTTGAAAGAGATCACTTGCAGGGGCCATGATATGCTGACTGCACGGCGTGGACGGGTAAGCTTGGCACAGAGCACTCGCAACACCAAAGTGCCAGAGCGGGTAGATCTAGAGGGAGTGAGGGAGAGTATGTTGATGCAAGGTCTCATGAACAGATACATCGAGGCATTCCGAATCCATACATCTAAATGTACGTGCATGTCTATGCTTCCTTTGATGGCTGGTGCTTCCTTGTTTGATACGGACTGCGAATTGTTTGCGAGTGGCTTCATTCATTCACCAAAACGGCAAATCCATCGCTTCCCAGCAACCTTGCTATTCCGATGCGCGTTCAGCAGAAGATGTTTGTCGCATGCTGGACATTCTTTCGGAAGAATTGTCATCGTGCGGCCTGTCATTAAATGCCGACAAAACGCGAATAATTACTAACGGCGTCGCTGTTTCCAATGCTGTAGTGCCCACCGTTTTGTAGCTTACCGGTTGCCAGTTTCCAGCTATGACGTCCCAAGTGTTTCATACGTGTTTAAGTAAGAAATTCAGGGGCGACTTGCGCAACAGACCGGAGTGCAATGTGAACTACCGCATGGAGTGCGCATGGGGGAAGTTCAAGTTCCATTTCGAGAAGAAGGTACTTTGGAATGGATCTATATCTTCGTGCCTTCGTTTGAAGCTGTTCGATTCGATCGTTACGCCCATGGCTGTTCAAGGTCTTTCGACAGCAGCCATGGCAGCACAGCAGCGGTCGCGAGTTGCATCGACGCGTTCAAAAATGCTCCGCCAGATAGCTGGTTTCAGCCAGCTTCCCCACAGACAGACGCACCAAGCAGAAAGTAACCGCTGCTTCGAAGATGTTTCCTGCGTCGGGCTGGCTCGTCGTGTTGGATCGCTCAGTGTGGCGCCCCGCGGCGCGACTCGCCGCCGGCGACTCGCAAGAACGGCAGGCTCAACTTCTTCGGTGGCGTCTGGCCGGCGTCAGACGCCGTGGGCGGCCACGTCTAAGATTCGACTACACGTAGGAGTGACCTTTCGCCGGAGTGACCTTTGGTGCGGGCCCAAGGGGGCTCCCCAATCGCGGAACGCCATGCGGTATCAGCGTCTTGCGCGCTCGTCTTTGGTCCCCCCGCGGCCCCCAGTGAACCGCGCACCAAAGGTCACTCTTACCCAGGGTCATTCTTGCGTGTAGTCGAAAGATGGACAGATGTTGTCGAGTCGTGTCTGCGACAAGAGCGCGGCATGGATATAATGAAGGTGATTCGCAGCCAGGAGCCCCTCCTGTGGCAGCGGGAGGAACAGCATTTTCTAGAGTTCCTGAGGAGCGACTGATGTATATATGCAGCTGTAATTTGACAATTTGACATTGCCCTGTCCATTACGTTTCTCTTGCATGCGCGTTTTGTTGCCGTAGTGCCTCACGCCCTCTGGCTCCGCTTGCGGGGCGAGGTGTCTCCATGGGCTACTCGACCGGACTGGACCTTGGTGGTTGAGTTCGAAGAACATGTTCAACGATGAGGGTATTATCAGTGCTCTTTCCGACCGACTTCTCGTGCTCTTGCACGGGAGCGAAATTGAGTACCCCGAATGTTATGTCCCTGTCGTTTTGAATACGCTGAGGAAGGTAGGCTTTGGATCTACATCGGAGGTCGTGGCAACACAGGCGGGCGGCTCGGCAGCATGGCATCGTTGGCCAGGAGCGCGCTTGCCACCGTGGCCAGATGCGCCCCGTGATGACAGGAGGTGGAGAAAAGGGGAGGAGACCAGCTGTTCTCTCGGATGCGAGCCGCGAGCTTCCTGCCGCGAAACGTGTGCTTCCCATGTCCCCTTCCCTCGTCCCCCTCTCCCCCCCCATCCCCCTCTCCCCCCTCTCCCCCCTCCCCTCTCCTTCCCATATCCCCTTCCCTCATCCCCATCCCTCATCCCTCATACCCCCTTCCCTCATTCCCGCCCCCCCTCTCTCCCTGCCCCCCCCTTCGGCGCCCTCATGAGACATTGATCTCTGCGTAGCGGGCCTGCCAGTACGTAGCGGGCCGCGCGTACGGCGGCGGTGGGCCGGAACACCGCCTGGTGCGCAGCGAGGCGTTGTGTGCAAATCACGTTTCCGTCCTCATCTGCCGTCCATGTCTCCTCATCCTCCTCCTCTTCCTTCCCTCCTCCTCTCCACATCCTTTTTCTTGTTTACCAGTTTGAGCAGTTATCGAGCGTCTTGGGCACTGCCCGTGTCGAGATGTCTCTTCCGCAGTGGTGGTCATGTAGCGATGCTCTCGTTCGCTGTGCGGCTGCCGTGGGAGGCTTCGGGAGCGGGGGTGCTGGCTCATCCAGCTCTCAGCCAGAGGCGGGGGTGCTCCAGCCAGCCCCCCCAGCTCTCGGGCTCCTCCTCCCGGGGTGCTGGGGTGCAGGCGTCGGCGGCCAGAGATGAGCCGTACGCCCTCCGTTCAGTTCGGTTTTGCCTGCGCCAGCCAGATGGCTGGTGCAGGCCCCCTCCTCGGTGGCTGGCCCCATCACGTGCAGCTGGGTGTCAGCCTCCACTGGAGGCGTGGACGGTGCCATCCCCCTCAGCATCGCGGCAGCATCCGCGCCGCTGGCCAACAGCAATGGGCGATGGACGTATTCGTGGTTTGGCTCCAGATTGCGGGATGGCGCTTTTGTTTCGCATGTGGTTTTGTTCGCTGCTCAAGCTGCCTTCAGTGAGCACGTAGCTCGAATATGTTTGGCCAGCTTACGATACATACGTAGGTGTATATATATATATATATATATATATATATATATGTATATACACATGTACGCACATGTATACACATGTTTTGAACCCTTGCTTGGGACAGCGCCTTGACTCGTCGACTCTGATTTCATCACCAGTTGGAAGCTGGTGCCTGAGATTTTTGGCGCTCGTTCCTGCATTCAGGTGAAAACTGTAGGTGGCGTTTTCGACATTTCGGAAGCGCGTGTTCACGCACGCGCGCGCGCACGCACGCGCGCGGGCACGCGCTCAGGATGGGGGTCGGGGTCGGGTTCGGGCTCAAGCTCGCGCTCGGGCTGGGGTCCGGCTCGCGGTCGGGCCACGCGGACTCGCGCGCGCACGCGCTCAGGACGGGGCTCCGGCTCGGTCTCAAGCTCGAGCTCGGGCTCGGGGTCCGGCTCGCGTTCGGGCGCTCGGCCTCGCGCTCGCGCTCGCGCTCGCGCAGGAGCTTGCGCGCGCGCGCGAACGAACGCGCACACGCGCACGAGAGCGCACACGCGCACGCTCGCGCACACGCGCACGCTCACGCTCGCGCACGCGCGCACGCGCACGTGCGCGCGCACGCGCGCACGCGCACGTGCGCGCGCACGCGCACGCGGACTGCCCCCCTTTTGTGGGCGAGGCGTGACTAGAATGCTTGGACGCCCAACCCTGGGCCTCGTACCTCCCCGCCCACAGTTTTATATGTTTAAAGCCTCAAGCGGCGTGTGGTTCCAGCGCCCACTTTTTTCTAGGGGAAGTAGTCCCAGCAGCCCACGGCTTGGGCTCCAGCACCCAATCTTGACGAGGGAGAGCCGTTCTAGCAAGACGACTGGGCCGTCGACTGAAAAAGGCAGCTCAGGCGGCCCGCGCCTCGGCCACGAACCCTCATACAGCCCGTCAAACATCTCACCAGTAACATATTCACCTGACTGTAGGGGTACTCTGTACATGCCAAGGTACTTCTAAGTCAGGACATCCGCCTATCTAGATGCACATCTGGGATACATCGGATAATCTCTGGCACGGGGAACCTGTTGCTGCAAATCGTCGCTCAGCCATGTCCGCCGATTGCCCGCCCGATCCGCACTGGCTTTTCTCGCCAGCGACGAGCCGAAGGACAACGGGAAATGATTACGGTCAGACCGCGGTGTAAGATCGAGTCCAGTTCGGGGAGGGTACCTTACTGGTCTTCGTGCTTTGTTTTTTGGATGTTCTTGTGCATCCTGGGGAGGGTGCCCTCGAATGTTTGTCAGTTTGGCTGGCGGAGGGTCTCATGTTCTTGAAAAAGGTCCTCTGTCTGTCCTAGGTATGGCCGTCGGTGTTGCCCAGGTGGGTATCTGGGTAGATATGCCGCCACGGCGGCATTCGCTATTTTCATAGCGTCCGCCCGGGCCAGAAGGCGGCCACGTTCGAGGAGTTGGATGCCAACGGCGATGGGAAGATCAGCCGGCAGGAGTTTCTCAACGCGTACCGGGAGGCTGCCAGTTGTCACGCCTCTATTCATGCTTGGCTTACTCGCTCATGTGTGCACCCCTTAATCACTACTTCCATCCTCCCCCTACTCACCTTGCTCGCCTCGTTAGTGCGATTTCGACTCGAGCTGCGGCACGTGCTCTAAACCATCCGCCGCATGGAGTATATATATAGATATATATATATATACATATATTCCCTTTTCTATATTTTTACAATCCGGGGGGGTGGGACCCCCCCCCCCCCGAAAATCGGACCCCCGGGATCTGGCGCTTTTCGGGCCCCCTGGACGCCTTGCAAGGGGTCCCCCAGGCCTTCCGGGCCTCCTGGACGCCCCTGCGGGGCCTTGCCAGCGGGCCCAAAGCGGTCAGGAGGGCGGCCAAACGGCCCCGCGAGAGCCCCACGCGGCCCCAGACAGCCCCAAGACGCCCGAAGACGACCCAAAGAAAACCCCCAAGAGGTCCTCCAAGTGCAAAACAACAGCACTTTCCTTTCCTTTCCTTTTTTTTTACCTTAAAAAAAGAAGGAATTTTTGGACATTCGGTTCTTCGGTATTCCGTGCGTCCGAGTCGGCCGAAGAGGCCCCCAAAATCCTCCCACAACGGTGTCAAAGGGCTTCCAGACAGTCCAAAAGAGCCCCAATATGGTCAAACAGGGCCGCAAGATGGCCCCAAGAGAGCCCCGCTGACAGCCCCAGATGGCCCCAAGACGCCTCCCGAAGCACTCCAAATCGTGACCCGGTCGTTCAGGGAGACCGTGGTTGGTAGCAAGGTGGCCGCAAGAAGCCCCCAGAGGCCCCCAAAAGGCGCCCAGGAGGCCCCCAGAGGTCCCCAAAAAGCTTTTGAGAGGGGCCCAGGAACACCTCCAAAGAGGAGCCCCTGCAATAAAAACTGGGGATGAGGACAAGGAGTGGCTCGCAGACAAGGAAGATTACGAGTAAGAGGAGAGGAAGTGTAAGGATAGTACATCACATTACTATAACGACGGTGGCGCAAACGGCAACAATGAATCATCGCTATATTTTGGCTCTCCTGCATGCCGAGCTTCAAGAACCAAGGTGCATGGCGCGAAGCGCCAATGCAGTCTTGTGTATATATATATATATATATTCCAATGGAGCCGCGAGGAGGCCCCAGCGGACCCCCCCTGAACCGTCAAGACCCCGAGCCCCGCCCAGCGCGGGGCTTTCCCGCACACGGGCCTCACATCCGCCCCGGGGCGGTTCTCCGGAGGCCCAGAGAGAGAGCGGGGCCTCCCGCGCGCCCGGAAGTGGGTCTCGGGAGAGCCTCCCTCCAGCTCTCGGCGGTGAGCGGGGGGGGGGGGAAGTGAGAAGCAGACGGCCTCCTCGGAAGGCGCCCGGACTTCTCAGAAGCACTCGCACGATGGGCATTATGGCCCCCGGCCCCCCCTCCCCCCTCCTCTGAGGTAACGCCCCTCCCCCCCAGTGCGCTCCTGGCACCGCCGCCGTGCGCACGGCGGGGGGGAGGCGTGACATCATGCCCCCACCCCTGGCCCCTCCCCCCCTATAATGCCAATTATCGTCGAAAATAAAGAAACGCGCTCCAGCTGGCTTCGGCCCCGTCATCGGACGCGTTCTTCGATGCGATGTCGCCTCTGGCGCCGGGAGGCGCAGGGAAAGTCGGCCGCGTGAGCTGATTCGCTAACCCTTCCTGTGCTAACCCCCCCTCCCCCCCCCCCCCTCTTTGGTCTGACCCGGCAGGGGAGGGGGGGAAGGGGAGAGGGGCAGGAGGAAGAGCCAGGAGTCGGGCGAGCGGGCCAGTAGGAAGAGGGAGGGGAGAGCAAGCGAGCAGGCGAGGAGGCGAGCACAGGAGGAGGGGGGCGATGGCAAGAGGGAGGAGAAGCCCCCGCGCGGTGGCGCAGGGCCGCGGCGCAGGCTCTTCGGAGGGCGCCCCCCGCAGAGGGGCAGGGTCAGGGGGCCACATGCGAAGCCTGCCCCTGCCCCCCACGAGTTCCGAGGCGGAGGGTGGGCTCACTTCGCTCGGGAGCTCCCGAGCGAAGTGAGCCCCACCCTCCGCCTCAGGAGTCGTGGCGGCATATAGGAGCCTGACGCTGATGGCAATTCGGGGCAAGCGACTGGCTAATTGGCCGGCGTGCAAGACGGGGGCGGCCGCGCGGAGGGAGAAGGGAAGGAGACACGCTATCTCTTTCTCCTCTCCCTCCCCGTCAATCTCCCTCCGCGCCCCAGCTGAACTTGCTTATCGCCGTCGAAGGGCTCGCACGTGGCCCCCTTCAGGGCGGGACGGTGCCGGCAGGGTGCCGAGGCCCGCCAGCTGTGCCGAGCCGCCAGGGGGGGAAGCGCGTCCCGGAGCGGGTGCCGAGGCCCGTCGCCGTGCCTCGGGCTCCTCGGGGCCCTCCACGAGCCCCTGGACTGTCGGAAAACGGCTCAGGTGAGAACCTCGGGGGCGGCCAAGAGGGGGGGGATGACTAGGGGGGGATATCATAGCGGGGGCCATGATATTTTCCTCGGATTTCATGGCGCCCCTTCGTGTTTCATCACGCCCCTGCCCCTTCCCCCCCCCCCCTCCCCTGGGCCGCGCACATGCCGCTGGCCATGATGTGTGCCCCCCCCTCTTGGCCGCCCCCAAGGACACGTCCTTCGAAGAAAGCAAAAACATAAACATAAACTTGTCGCGCTCCGCGTGGATTTTGAATGAAAAAACATAAACCGAAACGTCCTTCGAAGAAAAAACACATAAACAGAAACGTCCTTCGAAGAAAAAAACATAAACGGAAACATAAACATCGCCTTGGATGCGCGCCGGGCCCCCCCGGCGGCGCCTCTGGCGCCACCGGCGCGTTCCGTGCGCCAGGGAGGGGTGCTCAGGGCAGATCCAAGAACTCCGCGCGGAGCGCCAAAAGCTGATGGCGTTTTTTCTTCTTCCAGTCCTGGGAGGAGGCCCTATGGGGTCCAGGACCCGTTTCCCTCGGGGCCCGCTTCCCCCATGCCAAGCCGAGGCAGGGGTCGCGGCACCAGATGCGGCAGGGAGGGTCGCCGCCGGTCCCCAGGCGAGGGGGGGGGGGAACGCCCCCCCGAAGGGGAAGTTCACTTTGCTTGAGAGGAGCTCGATCTGGCCCCCCGCCACCCACGTCGACATGAGACAGCAATGCCACGTGCACATTGCGGCGAACGCTGGACCATGTGCGGGCTATCCCTCATGATTCTGCATTGGTTGTAGGTCCGGGGCAGGGGGGTGGCGAAACCAATGCGCGCTGATTGAAGGTGCACACCATAGAAGATGCTAATCACCCTGCCGCCACTCCGCACCGGTCTTTGACCGAGACCGTGGTGACGTCGGCATGTGGCCCGATGTTCGCTTTCACGTGCCCTGGCGCACCTGGCGCACCCTGCGCGCGCCGCGTGCCTGGAGCACGCTGCGTGCATGGTGCTCTGGGTGCACGCTGAGGGCACGGTGCACCAGGCTCCTCCTCTCGGGGCACGGAGGAGAGGATGCGGAGGAGAGGAGGAGGAGGAGGAGGAGGAGGAGGAGGAGGAGGAGGAGGAGGAGGAGGAGGAATGGGCGTCCCTCCCCGAGAGAGGAGGAGGAGAGAGGAGGAGAGAGGAGCGGGGCGATGGGCACATCGGGCGCACACCAGGCTCCTCTGGCGCGCTGGGGCACACGGCGCGCGCGGCAGACGTGGCGCAAGAGCGCACTTCGCCGGCGGGTGTCGCACGTGGCGTCTGCACTGTTTCCGAATGGCTGTCCATCGGGTGGCGACCGCTGCCTGTGTTGAGTCTCGGGTCCCCGATGGCAGCTTACTCGCCACCCTCACCCCCATATCGGCGTCACCCCAAAATGCTTCTACTGTATGTGCGTCGCCCCCCAGGCCCCAGGGGCAACGCGGGCACCGAGAAATCTTGTAGTACGTGCGTCGTGGCGGGCGCTTTCTGGCCACACCGCTCGGGAAACGATATACTATAAGATGGGTATACTATATGTTCGGATCGGACGCGCGCCTCCAAGGAGGACGTATATAGTATTAGCATGTCTCTGTGCGTCCCATCATAGTCGCCCTCGCGCTCACCATTCCTTCCCCGCGCCAGTACCCTGAACCTCACCTGTTCACCCTCACCCTCATATCCTTGTTCATACCTTTTGTCTTTACCCTTCCCCTCTCCCTCCCAAGCTTTGCCCCTGGTCCTGCATGTGTCCCTGCCCCCGCCGCATACCATCCCCTGCTGCTACTGCCCTTGCCAGCGCCCTTACTCGCAATCCTCGCCGTCACCTTTGCCCGCCCCCCCCGCCTCCCACCACTGCGCTCACTTTCGCTTCACCTGGACTTCAACTCCCAGCCGTGTCCACGGACCATGGCCCGATCTGAACCCTAACCTTCCGCCTCACCCATGCTGTCGCCCTGGCCATGGCACTTGCCCTCATCACCTCCGCTGCCCTCCGAGCTTCGCCTCTGCTGCGGTCCTGGCCCCGGCGCAGGCCGGCTCCTGGCAGGAGGGAGGAGGAGGAGGAGGAGGAGGAGGAGGAGGAGCAGGAGCAGGAGCAGGAGCAGGAGCAGGAGCAGGAGGGAGGAGGAGGAGGAGGAGGAGGAGGAGGAGGAGGAGGAGGAGGAGGAGGAGGAGGAGGAGGAGGAGGAGGAGGAGGAGGAGGAGGAGGTGTGGAGGAGGAGGAGTCTCTCCTCTTCCCTCCCCCTTAGGGCGCTGGGGTCCTGGCTCCTGCCTTGGTCCCGGCCCTGGCCCTGGCCCCGACCGCATCCCCACCTGCGCCTCCCGCGCCCGCTGCGAGGCCCGTGGGCCGAGCGGTGAGGGCAGGTCTCCCCCGAGCACACCGTGCTTGCACTTGGGGGCCATGAGGGGTTGGATGGGTGTGCTGGGTCTGCGGTTGGCGCCCTGCTGCTGGGCGCCCTGGGGCGCCTCGTGCGCGCGCTCGCGCCGGGCGCGTGTGCGCAGGTGCCGCCCGGTGCCCGCCTCGCGGGCGCCTCGCAGGCTGGTCGGGCGTGCCCCCGGTCTTGCCCGGCGCTCGCCCCCGGGGGGGGGGGCGCTTCGTGGGCTCCTCGCGCGCGGGCGCGCGTGCCCGCCCTGGGCCTCGCGACGAGCCTCGCGGCCTCCCAGGGGGCGCGCGTCGTGCGCCGGGGGTGGGCGTGCCGAGGTGTGGCCTCTGGTGCCCGCCCATGGGGGTGGGCGCCTCGGGGGGCGGGGGGTGGGCTTCCCCGGGCGCCCGCCCTGGGCCTCGTGGCCTCCCGTGGGCGCGTCGTTCTGGGCCTCCTTTTGGTGGGGTCGGGGGCCGATGCACCGGCGCTGCATCGGCGATGCGGCTCGATGAGGGGCCCAGGGTTAGTTCTTCATGCCGATGTCGCGGATGCATCACCGATGTCGCCAGTACACGGCCGAAGCATCGCCGATGCATCGGCATCCTCCGGCCCCATCTGCTCGGACCCCATCCGGGAGGCCTCTAACTAGTCGTGCGCCGAGTGGGTGTGCCGAGGTTTGGCCTGGTGCCCGCCCGTGGGCGCCTCGTGGGCGCCTCGTGGGCGCCTCGTGCGCAGAGAGCTGCGGCGCAGCCTGCACCACATAGCTCGCGCCGCACAGCCTGTACCACATAATATGTACTGCACCACGCTGCTCGCACCGCGTAGCTCCGTAGGGCTGGAGGAACGACAATCTCCAGTCTGGGCGTTTCAGTCTCGATGTAGAGGGGATGTAAGCAAGTGTTGAGGGGCGGCGGCGACGCGTCTGCCAGGTGATGCTCCTGGAGAAGCGTCTGGGAGCATCGTGTTGGATGTTCCTGGATAGGCTGCCGGGAACATGTTTTCCTGGCCTTTGCGGGATGAGGGGTGATAGTGATCGTTGGAATGCGTGTCAAGGCAACCCTTTTACCAAGGGTGCGTGTGAACGGTTTCGCGAGCGTTCCCTCCCACCCTCTGTGGCCAGAGCTTGACAGGAGATCGATGAAGTATGCCATCTGACAGCCCGCTTCGTAGGGCTCTGTGCGTATTAGGGCCTGCTGTGGTAGGCGTGTTTTCAGCGCATGAGGGTATCAGGGCCCTCTGCGGCGTTGGGAGTGCCACGAAGGTTCTCCACCAGAAAACTTGGAGCACTTATCAATAAGACCACCGCACTGCTTTCACCACACAGCGTGCACGACACAGCTTGCGCTGCTGGTACCACATAGCTTGCACCGCAAATATTGCACTGCATACCTTACACCACACAGCTGTCACCACACCACACAGCTTGCACCACAAAAAATACATCAGATGTGTTGCGCCGCATAGCTTGCATCACATAGCTTCCACCACATAACTTGCACATAATGGCTTACACAGCATAGCAACACACAGCGTGCACCACGTAGCTTGCACTTGCACCACACAGCTTACACATCCACCGCGCAACAATCTCTTGTGTGGGGCCTCCGCTGGCACACACATCTGCATGTACACCTGCGCAACATTAAGATCTATATATATATATATGTATATATGTATATATGTGTATGTGTATATATATGGGCACTGACACACACAGACTACGTACACATTGCAGGCAGCCCTATGGCTTCGCCGTACACCTTGCACTGCATCCCCGCCCCTCGCTCGGCCCACTGCTGTCCCCGCCCCGCGCCGGCCGCAGGGGAGGGTCAAGTTCTCGAAGGACGGGAGCCTCGTCTCGCCCTGCGGCTCACCGCGGCCCCCCGGGCAGGCGAGCTCCGCCGAGCCCCGCGCCAGACCGGGCAGTGCCAGGGGGGTCCACCACCAGTTCCATGCTCGTTCTGGGGACACCTCTGGGGCCCACCTGATGGATCGATTCGACTCAAGGTCGACTCAGGTTCGACCCAGGTTCGACTCAGGTTCGACTCGAGTCTCCGGGCGTTCGACGCAGCTTCGACGCACGAGTGGAGCGAGTGGCTCCAGGAAGGTCCCCAGGACGAGCAGCCAACACCAGAGGGGTCACCAGTTCCTCCCGGAAGTCGAGGTTCCAGGATCGACGCTCGGAGAGGTGTTGGGAGGTGTGGGGCGTAGTCTCGAGGGGGCTCTGTAGTGTTCTTGGGGGCTCTGGAGTGCTCTTGCAACCCTCCCAGTGGTGGCCCCCTAGGCATTGCCCCAGCCGGGGGAGGGCAGGCGGGAGGTGTTAGGAGAGGGGGTTGGGCCTGGTGGACAGAGTGCCTGAGGGGCGCGCATGGCGTCCCTGGCGAGCCGGGCCCCCCCGTTCGCCTGTCAAGCAGTGGCGAAGCGTCCTGGCTCGCCTTATAGCCCTACCAAACAATGGTCTAAGAACTTGTTGTGGTTTTCACGGAATGTTCTTAGAACATTGCTGGCGGAGTCTGTCTTGTTTGGTCACATCGGGCTAATGTTCTAAGAACATTGTTTTGTTATTCGAACATGTTTGGGTTCTAAGAACATTTCGTAGTAGGACTATAGGAATGCCAGGACGGCCGGTCCCTGTTCAAGCCTGGGCTTTAGCGACCGAAGGCAACGCAGCTTGGCAGGCGCTCGGGATCACGCGGCCGCGATGCCATTGGCAAAGGCACCTTCGTACTTCTCTTGTTGCCTAGGGCATCCTCCTCGCAGCACTCGCAGAGCAACTGGAGGGGGCCGGCAGGGTGGCCCTCGGGAAAATGGCGTCAGCCTGGAAACAAAGAGAGGGTGCACAGGGTTCCCTGTCATGACGTGGCTCAATGAGTCAGTTTGCTCGTGAACAAGTCTCCTCACCACTCTGGCGCGCGAGCCCCAGTCTCCTCTTGGTCGTCCTCCTCCTTTTCCTCTGCCTCCCACTCCGCTTTCCGTTGTAGTGTTGACACAGGTCTGGCGTCTAGAAGCTACCATCGGGGGCTCGTTCGGCTCATCACCCCCTTCCTTCCGGGATCAGCAGATTTCTTGGTGCTTGATTCTGGAGGCTCAGAAGCTCTCTGCCCTCCTGCTCGCCCAAGTTCCTTCATCCTGGAAGGGTTACGGTAGGTTCATGCGGCGTTGGCACGCCGGTTGAATTCTGCGACGCGGCAGCGCCGATGGACACGGTAACGCTGCTGGACCCGATCGGATTCAACCTTTGACGATCGGGGCCGCGATCGATTCAAGGTCGAACGATCGATGCGGTGACAACATCTTCTGCGCGCGCCGACGCCGCGCGAGCTTTTTGCGTCGGCGGCTAGGCAGAGTGCCTGCGCTGGCGAGAAGCTACCCAAACGGGGGTGCCGTTGCAGCGACTGGTGCCACCGTGCAGGGAGAGAGGGAGAAGGAAGAGAGCGGCCGAACGAGGGAGGGCCGCGAAGCCGCCCAGGAGGAGGAGGAGGAGGAGGAGGAGGAGGAGGAGGAGGAGGAGGAGGAGGAGGAGGAGGAGGGGGGCCGCGAAGCCGCCCGAAATTCCGTCGCACGTTGGGGGGCCCATGCTCCCGAGGGCGATCCTCTCGGGAGCATCGCCCTGCCTCTCGAGGCACGCGCAGGCCCCCGAGCGCCCGCCTGTCTCGCTGGCCGCCACTACTTCAGAGCGTAAATTACCTACGGTAGGTTCGCGTCGTGTCGACCGTCGGCGACCCCGCCCGCGGCGTTCAAGGTTGAACGCCGCCGGCGACCCAGAATCGATCGATGTGGAACGATCGGACGTTGCGGAGAGGGCCGATCGTTCAAGGTTGAACGATCCCTGCGGTGTCAGAAACCAACGCCGGGGTCGACACGACGCGAACCTGCCGTACCCCGCTTTCGCTTCCGGGCAAAACCAAGCCATACCACGCGCCTCCTCGTCAAGCGGCCTGACCAGTACAGGATGCGATTTGGCATCGTTTGGTATCTCCTGGAGGCGAGGGTGGTCAAAAGCGAGGCAGGTTTGTTTTCCCCCTATTACTGCCGATCATGTTTTGGAGCGTGTTCCATCTTTCTTCCAGGATCCGCCTGTAGGGGGACATGCCCGGCCCAATCCCGCCCTCGCCGATCCACGATGCGAGGTTCGGGGTCGGAGGTGTTCGGCGTTTCCGTGGGCTCTCGGTGGCTCTCCAGCCTCGGGATGCCCTGCAGCGGCTGCGCCTCGCCGAGAGCATTCCGGAGTTGCTAGTGCGCTCGGGAGGTGCAGGATCCTGGCAGATCGAGTGTCTCGGGGAAGCGGGCACACACTTCTCACTGCTCCATTGCAGGGTAACCAGATGCGACATCTGGGTGTCCTATTGTCGAGCAGCAGGCGTCTGAGATGCTTGCGATTGGCACCGCCGATGTGCCTGTGTGGCATTGAAGCGTCCACTGATCTCCCTTGGGCAGGCTCGGTGGAGCAGTTTTGATGCCGTGCGAAACGCAGCGCTGCGGTATCATGTAGTCGTAGCGGGCATAGCCACAAGGCTGCACGATTGCTGCGTCTCTTTTTGGAGACCTCTTCAGGGCTTCTGGGTATCTTTCTTGAGGGCTTCTTGAGAGTCGTCGAGCTATCTCAGGCGCGATGGTTCAACCGAGCTCTTCCGATGAGTCTCTACAGATAATGTGAGGGTCGTCTGAGCGGGTCTCGTGGGCGTCTTCAAGCCCTCTTGGGGTGGTCACCGTCGTAGGGGTTGTTTGGCTTCTCTTTGGGCCATCTAAGGCCGTCTTGGTGGATTTGGGGTTCTCTGAGCCGTCTTGAGGCTTTGTGGAACCTTCCGTTCCTGTGTTGTTCTGAGGCCGAGACGTTCCGGAAACAATACATGCTTGCAGGGATCTTTGGGCGTTTCTTGTAGATGTTGCGCAGATGAGTAGTGTAGCCTCCTTGAATTGGCCCAGAGGCATCTTGTAGCTGTCTTGTGTCTTGGGGTGGTCCTGCGCCGCATTTCGGCTATCTAGGGGAAATATCGCAAGGGAACAACGAGATTATACATCTATTGTGTTATTGTCCAGCCCAGGGACAACGCCTGGCCGTCTAGCTGCAGCGGGACACATACCAACGACACCGCCGCAAGGTAGTGTTTCGTGCAGCAGGCCTCGAATTCTAGACGCTTCGCTTGTCCCCATCCGCCCATTCAGAAACAATGCCCGGGCGAGTTGCAAGAGGAGGAGGAGGAGGAGGAGTAGGAGAAGCAGGAATGCGGAGGAATGAAGGAATGATGAATATTAGGCGAAGGTGAGCAAAAGGAAGATGAGTGGAAGAAAGGTGTTAGACATGACGCACTCCAGACCACCTCCGCCCAGAGGACTGGTGGGATTACGGACACCGCAGGCCTTAAGACATTCCGGTGCAGGGCGCCATCGGTCTCTTGGAAGGAGGGTCCAGTTTGAGGCAGAACGCCGACATTCTAATGACCACAGTATCGCAATTTCGGCTGAGCGCAGGGGGGGAGGGTAGAGTAGTAGAGTGGCTGGGTCGATAGTCCAAACAGGACTGGGGTCACGGCTTGAGATGGCCAGCTGGTGTTTCCGATCTTGTTTGAACAGTTTCAGTTGTGGAGGAGGTGGATGAGGTGGATCACCAAGCCAGCGACTCAGCGTCGGGCTCGACATGCGAGAGCGCGGCCGCATGGGGTCATTTGAATTTGAGGAATGAGTCACCAAGCACTGTGTCGTGGATCGTGCAGTAGCAGACGGAGATATTGTGATGCCATGTTGTGGCTGGCCCCGAACTTCCGACGCGCAGTTCACAGTCGATCGCACAGGGGTTCGTCGACAAGCCAATGGGGTTGACGGGCCCCAGCATTTAATGAAATCATTTGAAATGGGTTTTTCTGTCGCTCCGCCCTCT